ATTGCTCACTTGAAGACATCATAACACATTCTTCGTAGTCCAAACTTTCCACCTAAACAGACCTCATATTATTCAGCAGAATTCCACAAATATATAAACATGTATGTGTATGTACCATGCCACTGTTAAAAAGTGTTGAATTTCAATACAATTTCAAATGAACTGTTTCAGAGAGAATGAATGATTTTATTCATCATTATCATTGACGCTGTTAAAATTATGAATGTCATCGATTAAGATGACGAGGTGATAAGTAGTTTCTTTGGAATATTTTCCGCTCCGTATTTATATTTCATGTTCAGTACGGTTAACCAACCACTCAAGTACTATTCCGTTTCTTCATGCTATCCAAAAAAATTTGCCTGAAAACTCGGAGAAACGCTGTATACAGATTGCGCCAAAATAAAAATCCTCAATTAACAGCAAATGGCAGTTGTGTCACAAATACGACGAAACTATTGATTTGAGTACACTAATTATTATCACTATTACTACCTAAAATTACCAAGCAATTAGATCCGTGAATGATAAATGAATCGCCTTGAGACTCGAATTTGCAAATCGTCCCGTGGTAGTTTTGACGACATTAAGGATTTTGGTCAATTCGGGTTGTTGTTGCTGTTCGCTTCTCGTTGGGTCTTAGTTTGATTGTGCGTATCTATGTATTTCAGTAATCTTGGTCATGGTGTCAAGATTTGTCTATTCAAAATTACCTCTCCATAACAATTGATGTGATATCCCGATTTTAGATGTTTAAAAAAAATTTTTTTTCATTCGAAATTTGCTCTTATTATCAATCAAACAATAATCCTGCAAATCGGAATGTTATGGAAGTAAAAAAAAGAAAAATTATAATTTTTTTGCTAAATTTAATGCTTATTATATTATTCAATTAGTTTTTTTTTTGTCAGGTACCTAACAGCGACAATATTTGAATTTTGAAGCAATCCGAAAAGAAAAGTATGGTTAGAAAGAGAAATGATCATTTTTGTGCCCCAACTAGTTCAGATCCGTCATACTGGAACCAAAACCGTCGAGAAAATCTGTATCCAAACTTGGAACGCTTAAGGAAGGATGATTTCAACTACAAAGACGGTGACGATAGTAATGTGTAAGTTGTAGCAACTTAAATTCATTTGAAATTTTGAAATATAAGTTGTAACAGAATTTAAAATTTTGATACTTTTTTAAATCCAAACTTAACAGCATTAAATTTGAATTTCAATCTATTTAATTTAAAATCTGAATCTTGTTATTATTGTAATCATTTAATGAAGCATATTATAGAAATATGATAACAAGCCTCATTTTATTGTGGACGTGATCTAAGGCACTGGGATAGTTATTTCTTTTGGCAATGAAAAAAAAATGCTTGCTCCTTAACTCAACTTTTTTCTAATATTTAGTGAATAATTTCTTTCCATAATTGAACTGAGAGAGTTAATCAGGTTTAGAAATTTGCTCGCTGTTTTTTGCACTTTTTATTCAACGAGTCGGATTCTGTAAATTATTTCCGTCTAGATCAGACGAATCAGATCATAGAGAATATGATGATTTTGGAAGGAATGCTAGCACTTCATCAATATTGGCAAGATTGGAATGGATTTGGAATCTGTTTTCTTCAGATATAATGAAACGGGTTTTTTTTTTACTTATGACATTACTGCATCCACCTATAACGACTATCTGGAATTGGTCGTTTTGAGAAATTATCAAGTGACTTAATAAATCAAGTTAAAGACTGACTCTGAGTAACAGTAGAAATTTATACATGATGTGACGCTTGAAACTTGGTTAATGTTATTTTGCAATGATTTGTTGACAGCTTAACTAATTCATTTTTGAAAAGTAAGCGAAAAGGGATTTATCTATAATGGCTAAATTTAGATTAACTGTTTGCCTTTCAGTTTTGTATTATCCTGTTCAGTGTCATTATTGTCGCAATTGTTGTTTTCGTTCGTAATTCGTTAATCGATTTTACATACTCAAATTCAAGCAGTGAAACTGTTTCATTGAAGAAGTACTTTTTTAATTGTTACTTCAGCAAATTTTAATATATATTATGATTCGTGTAGTAGTTTATTATGTTCCGATAATGAAAATTTTCGCTGATCATATATTCACAATAACATTAGCTTTGTGTTACTCCGGTATTTGATGTGTGAAAAATGATGTAGCTTGAAGTGATAAGGAAGTCATAAATTCATTTGTGGTAAGTGAACGTTATTTTTTGTGCAATGCAGCATTACATAGGTTATCACGAGATGATAATCTCTATAAAGAGGGGATTTATATAAGTGCAGATGCTATATACATTTACATTCATTATTTACAGTTATAAGCAGTGGATAAATGGCATTTTGAAGGAAAACTTCACTAACGAATACGAACATGGTACTAATACGAAAGCAGTATTGCGACTTATTGGTGAGAAATGGGTCTATCAGGTTCTTTTCAGATTATCTCCCATTATTTGGATATCACATACGGAATTTTTCCTTAAATACTTCACTTCGAATCGAATAGTTTGCAGAAATATTTCACTTTTCTTGGAATTGAAAAAGATACTCTATAAATTTTCGAGTGTAGCAGATGATTCAAATCTAAATTGAATTGATGAAAAGGATTTAAAGATTTGAAATGCTGTAGTGTGATTCCAGAAACCAATCGAACCGTATGTGGTATTAATTGCGGGTGTAAAGGCCGATATGTTAGCCGATGCTCTTGGTGATGTTTTTTCCAATATTACTGGAAAAGGCGAAATTGACAGGATATTTTGTAATGAGTATAAACAACGGCAGTTATTGGAAAGTGAAGTTTCGAAGTCATTATCGAAGTACAGTAAATCAGTAGTTTTACACGGTAAATTTGTGGAAAATTTTAAATTTTGAAATGAATATCTTGATCATACTGAGTATTGGGGAGTCAGGAAGTGGTAAGTGGATACCCTTAGAGAAAAATATAAGTTCCCAGAGATAATTCTCTTCTTGAAAGATTTCCTATTTCTTTGTTAAGTGCTAAGTGCTCGAAACGAAGAAGTATCGGTTTGGAAAATTTCAGGAATCGACAGACTGCGAGGACATGCTCCATTATATTTGCACAGTTTATCTGATCCCGATCATTCGCCGTTTCGTTCTGCTCTCATTCTACTGACTATTAATTTATTCTTCGGTTCATACCCCAGCTGTGAAGATGAGATATCTAGGTGAGAGTGAAGCACTTTTTTGGCCTGAAATAGTTCTTTTTTCTGATAATTAGTCCCGCCTTAAAAGTGTTATTTAACGTTTTTATTCATGATTCAATTTATTCTCTAATGATGTGCACCGAATTGAAATTCTCTTGTATCAAGTTTTGGATATTTTCTGTATAGCTTTGTTCTGCTTATTTTATAGAAGAACTTTTCAGTCACTTATTAAATATATGGGACTCTGATTATATTGGTGAGGACCAAATTCGACCAATTCTTTCTCGGATATCTTCTTTCTTGATATGCTTGGAAGATTGAGAATTACCAGTAAGTCATATAAAGGAGCAACTGAGTTTCTTGATTTGTCAGTTGTGGAGAAAATAAGGGGAATTTGGAGTAGGACAACATCGACAAGTTCCTTCTGCGAGGGAAGGATTCAGATATTAGTTTTATAATTAGAGATTGGAATTTATATTACTTTTGTCCATTCAGGCATTTCATCATTTTAGGGAAAGCATAAGTGTATATATTTTATTAAGTATTTTTTCATTTCATCATGTACTGTATCATTCACAATCAGAATAACAAAACTTATTTCACATAAGAAAAAAGCATTGTTTTCCATATTAGGATAATATGCATTAACAAGGAATATGAATGAATAAACTCATAAACATTCTTGTTTATTTATATTGTCCGAACCTGGTAACCGATGCGGGCATCAACATCCAGTATATTTTTTCCATGGTCGCATATTCCCTTCCAAAATCTAGGATAACGTCCTCGTTCTGCAAAAAAATAGATAACACGGATTCTACCTTACTCTTTTGAATTTTTTGTATATATATATATATATATATATATATTATCTTTCGTATCACAGTGATAATTGTATTTCGATGCTACCAACTTTGTGAAAAAGCCTGATTATAATGCTGACAAAGTATGAGGTTAACTATGAGCTTCATTATCAAGCTTATATTAAATTCATTCCCATCAAATTACAATTATCTGAATAATAAGTTTTGTCAAATAATTTCATTGATTTTGGACAGATTACTCAATGGAATAAATATTCTATTTAAAATCGAATTTAGAAAATTGGAAATATTACATTTCAATTATTATGCGGCAAATCTCTGTTGAGTGTTACTGATGTTATCTGATTTTTAAGGTATTAATTGCTGCTTGCAACTGTGCTAGTGGTGCGTTTAGTTATTACTTTTTGGCAGGAATTAAATTTTTTAGGTTGGCTGGTAGTCATTGTTTCTGCTCATTCGAGCACTGCATGTTTTTTCCTAATGTTGATTTTTGAGGAGTTTTCGCTCCTTTTTGATGGAAGAAAGAAAAAGCATAATCAAAGATGATGAACAAAAGGTATATTCTAAAGATCAGTGTTCGGAGAGGTGCTTCTGTAATCATATGGTGAAACAAAAATGTTAATTTCTTCACATGTTGCGTTGGGTAGGCACATTTTTGCGAACGAACGGTGTTTCTTTATTCAGCTAAGTACATCTTGATCCGCATAATATATTAGATTGCATATATGTGCTCTGCATTTTTTTCAAATTACAAATCTTTTAGGAGACTGAAAAAGAATAGGGTTAAAAATATAAACTCGTGGAAATTTCAACACTTATTTGGTCATGATTGAGATCTTATGAAGTACCAGAAGAGCTGTAATAATCTTCAATTGAGCTTTGTTTTGTATCTACTAGATATTTTTCGTTCGCACTTCTGTTGTTGCCTCAGACCTCTCAACAAACTGTACTGTACCGTATTATATAGACTAAAGTTGCCAGATTTGTTGCATTCAGGAAAATTCTACGAATGTTCGAAGGGAAGTGAAATTGTTTGAAATTTTTTTGGGCTTTTGATAAAGCAGCGCGGACTTGCGATGGGAATTTGATTTTCGAAAATTTGACGGATGAAACAGAGAGAGGAAATTTAAATTGGTTCTCATATCTATCAAGAAGAAACGGATTATGCTTAAGAGTAGTTTTCAGAGAATCAAATTCAAGTTTGATGAAAGAAAAACTAAATTGCAAACAAGATTTTTATCTGACTGTTAGGAAATTGCATGGAAAATGATGGAGAAAATGATGAATTTTCATCTTGGAATCGTCTGTTAGGGTTTAGATTTGTATATTAGTAATGGAATATATGTATATATGATTTGTATATTTTATATTTGTAATGACAGATTTAGGATAATGGAAATAATTAATTTTTATTAAAAACAGAAGAATTTGCTGTTGGAAAACCGAAGAAAGCTATAATATGTTAAAGCAACGAAAATATTCTCTGTATGAAGCATTTCCTATAAAGGATTCGTCACATTACACAGACATTAATTACAACTTTTTTGCAACCACATCCAGTAATGAATCTGCTATCTAATTTGAATGTGTAACATGTAAATTTCGACTTTTTTGTAAGCCAAACTCAATTATCTGCAATACATAAAGGCCTAGTTAGGCATTCCTACTATAAAAAAATAAGATCGAAATTTGGTTCTAACTTTGGATCTGCACTATCTTCAATCTTCTTTTGTATCTCAAAATCACTACTCTATGTTTGGTTATGTGCGGTGTTAACAATAAACTAACAAAAATACAATTTGCCACTCGATTCAAAGCATTATGTATTTCCTTTCCTCACTACGCCTAGCTTATTCATCAAATTAATCCCAATTTTTCACGGCAATGTAGGTAGTAGCATTGGCTCTTTATTTTATAATCTCATTCTGAGAGAAATATTAGTTTCGATCAATTGTTGTATTTGGATGACATATATTATACAAATAGACGAAAGATTTAACGAACAATATGTGGAGAGCTAAATTTGCATGACCATCTAAAAGACTGAGCTTAAACTTGATGGGTTCATATCAAAGTTTCAAACAATTTCCATTTTTATTTTGCTTTCACCGGCATAAGGTGAGCCAGCATCAGAGTGCATGTATTTTTTACCTAGATATAGTCACATATGGAACCTATCTTAAAATTTGTTAACCTCACTGAGATATTTGGCTTCACAATAAATAATAGATAGAAGTCGAATAATCCATTGAAACAAAGCTGAACGAGCCAAGACGCAAATTAAGCATCTTAGAGATTTCAGCCTTGCATAAGCCTCTCGTGAACTGTGCAATATTTGCGTGCAATTTTTTAAAAAATCATTTAGGTTTTAAATTAATCGCAAATTAATCCACGCACTTTGCTTTGATCTATTTGCTAATTTTACGCAAAACACATAAATGTGATTCTATCTCAGCCAATAGTGTAAGAAAGATGGAGAGATTCAGATGAAGCGCTACGGAATCCGCTGATTATGACCAGTTAGTTCAAATCGGCACAATAGGCTCGAGTTATTCCTGTCAGCCAAGATGATGATTTTGTTGAGAAACAGCGCGATGATTGTCGATCTTTGATTGAATCAACGCAGTTGCATGTAAAATTTAAAACAACAATGTAGAGGAATTGCAATTATTGACGTACTTATCAATAATTTGGGTTCAAAATAAAATTGCATGAGATAAACAGCAAATTGAAAAAATTGTGGAAACACGTGACTTCGAGTTAGGAGGAGTAAGAGTTGGTGTGTACCACAACATGTAACATCGGTAGTCCGCTTTATGTCACTAATTCATCAATGAGAAAATTTCCTCATTCCATTATGTTATAATTATTATAGACAAACCAAATGAATGCATTACAATAAATACTGCTAGTTAACGAAGCATACGTTGAGGAAGCACTCCTTATTGGATATTTTTGATAACTATTGTTAACAGTCTCCCACAGTCATCATTGTCAGCGATTTCTTTACTGGGATAAACCAAACAGATTACTGCTATTGATGATGATGATGATTAATGAAATGGTGATGACTGATGATGGATAGGAGAATTCTGGAGCTCTTGCAACACTGAGTGAATATCTTTTATTGAATTGAAGAACTGTTGGACAATAACATCAGTTCATTGCAACATAACCTAGTATTAGACAGATGTGTTCATCAGCTATGAACTGTCCTCATTTTTCTTCTTTCATAAACACTGTTTTCACTTCACAACAAAGACATATTAATTTCCATTTTAGGATAACCTACTAATTTTTACTTAAACTAACGTTAAATTATAAGTTGCGCTCGGATTTTTAAGCGTTTTTTTGTCTTCTAGGTTCAGGCAAAATTGTTGATGTGACATCATTTATGAAGAAAATTAGATTTTTTGCCACCCTGCTAGAAGATATTTAAAATGTTAGCATCCAAGAACTAAACTACTTCATTTAAATTTATCTGTTTATTCGGCTCCATTAGTTTTCTTTCAAAATATAATTACTCTTTCACATCTCATAATGATTTAAGTATTCAAAACGAATTCCATAAAAATTGATTGTGTATATTTACTGACTATTTTTGAGAAGACAACTTCGGAATCCTACTTAAGTTTTGGCAGCTTGACATGTTTGCATAAATTTTTGACATATAAATATTAACAGGAGCAGGTTATTCAGTTTTATAAGTAAATGAATGAATGAATGAAGCCATCGAAATGAGGCATGCCAATGGAGAAGATATCTTTGGAGAAACTCAAAATAAGAGAGAAATAGTACAAATTTAAGAAGATTATGCTTGGAAATGAGGGTAATTCGTATTCTTTCATTCGCTGAATATTACTTCCTATTTAAAAAAGGCATATTCTTTGGAAGACTTGATGGGCACTATTCTTCCATATATTTCAAAATTTTCGTGAAAAAAATCTGTTGAATATTTGAAGAGATGGATGAATAATCAGATTGGAGATGTAAAATCAGCAAGTACTGCAGGACTTGAAATAGCTTCAAATAGTCAGATTTTGGCTCAAGGCGGGCAATATGGAAATTTTAATGGATGAGTTCATTTATTATAGTTAGTGCTTCCTTGACCAACAAAAACTCATTTTATCAACAGCATGAAACTGTTTTGTTTTTCATTATGAGCGATCTTTCATTTTTTTTCTCTCATGCATTATCGTTCGGAGCAGATGGAGACAAATGATTTTCGAGAATAACTGATTGCTAGGAACTATGTTCCCATGATAATTTGGCGCTGTTTTTTTCCAGTGCACAAAATTTTCTAGATGAGATAAATTTGAATGAAAATATGGTCGGTGAAGAAGATGTGATGCATACTGACTACCGTTTTTTCCCTTATCACATTTCATGACAAGAGAATAATATCATATCCGCTCCCAAGTAATAATCAGAACATTCCCGGATTATTGCGATGATATTTTGTCGATTAGTTTTCTGCTACGAGAACTCTTTAACAGTGTTAATAACGCCCATACTTGTGAAGACACTTTGAATATTGACAATGTCCATACTTGTGAAGACACTTTGAATATTTAGAATTTCATTCTAAAACAAACAAATGTTCATAGGTTTATGCATGCGAAAGAGTGGTATAGTGTTCACGTTCATTAAATGAAGAATAACCACTGTGTATAAAACAAACAAACAAATAAATAAACTAACGAACAGAATAGTGTGCTAAAAGATGAGAGTGTCATATGATAGGTTCCAATTTCTTTCTAAACAAGAATTTATTAAATTATGAAAATGATAGGACTTGAGCTACAAGCTTTGAAAAGTATGCTATTTCCATGGAGCTGTAAAAAAAATTTAATCAATTCGGGTAGTTCTCGGTTTCGAAAAACACGATCTTTTTGATAAATTTTTTCCGTTATATGCACACCGCATTAAGATTAAATTTAGATGAACGAAAACATCTTTATCACAGAAAACCAGTCAAATTTTTGTAAAAACTAAAAAAACATATGTTTTAAAAAGAATTGAAAATCAACGTAACTACCGAACCGAGTTAAAAGAAACTAAAATTGAACGTGCGTCAACAAGTTTCACAATCCCAATATGACTTGTATCTCAATAAAAAAATTTACGTTCTAAGATATACCATTAAATGGCCATCCGACATAACTACTGTGGCTAAAAATTATGTTATCCATTCGAAATACTAATATGTTTTAGCGAATGAGCAGCAGATCTGGCACATCATGAAAATGTACAATACCATCCATCCCTTGAGCAAAAACATAGAATCAACAATAGGTAACAGTGGAAACACTGTATTCACCAACATAGTTTCAGGTATACAATTCCAAGTTCCTCAAAAACGCAGAGGTAAACAATTTAAACTTCCGTCTTCTTCCAGTCTTCACGCTGGGGTATTAGAAAATGTGTGCAAAAGCATTTCTCAGAAAAAATTTCCTGAATCTAACTAAATTGGAAATGAATGCTTGCTTATTTCTGATTAGAAAGAAATTTCGATCACTCTAGCTTCTGCTTACGAAAAAATATATGTGTGCATGCTTATGTCCCTCTTCATCAAATGAGGTAACCAACAACACATCCAGGATTTCTTTCGAAAAGAAAAAGAGAAATAAACCTATTGACCAAACAAAATTTATCATAAAATCAAAAAAATCTATCGTTCTAAATTAGACTTAAAAGTTAATCGTCATGCTCTTTTCATCTTTCGCTTTTTGTCACTACACTATCAAAGTGATAAATATATAACTCATTGACAACTATCTACATTTCAACAAAAAAAAAACCATTTAATCAAATATTACAAAAAGAAGAGAGCTGGAATTAATCCTGGATATGTTATTATTGCATTAGAACACTAAAATAACAGTAATGCAGGTGAGCATTTAAATCTTAATCTATCATATAATTAAAAACAAGTACTATTATAACAAAACAAAATGATATAAAGGTAAGTATCCAATAGAAATAATGAAAATATGATACAAATAACTGTTTCATGTCTGCAGAGATTTTCCATTTATCATACAATTCAAAATTTTAAAAGAAAAGGATAGCACTAATATCTTTATTTCAACTAAGTGTACATTACAAATCTAGATCATGCTTTTTTCTTTTTTTGATATATTTATTCAGACAAGGTCATTTCTTTTCCCACTTCATTATGAACTTGTTGTAACTACTTTTTTTCTCCTCCTCCCTCAAAAACATCAATAGCTTTGAGGTATCTTCCTGACCTTATTTAATGCTACTTGAAATAAAAAATATGTTACTTTAGCGAGACTAGAGCGAGAGCTTTTTTAGCTCAAAACATGCTGGATTCTGAGATCATAAATGCCTGCTGAAATATACTATGTCTGGTAGTTAATTATAATATTTATGAGACAGGTCTTTCAAGCAAAATATCGCTTATATACTTAGACACTGCAACTAATCTATTTTTACTGATAATAGCTGTATATTCCTTACAAAAAATAAGAAAAGATATGGGAATAATAGTAGGGCCTTCATCACCTTATCAACCCGCTCAAACAGATATTTAATAAAAAATCAGTGAATATACTAAAGAAAAATTTTCAAATCATATTTTCGATCAAAACCATCCAGCGAATAGAAAAATTTTTTAGTGTTAGGAAGCAGAAATATAGAAGGCACCAAACAGCTAATTAATACAATAGGAATGATTTAAATCTCAACCTCCTTTTCCGAACATTAAAGGATTAAACTATATATATCTGTAACATATATCTGTTTCTGAAACCCAAAATGAAAAATATCTCACTTCTGACTTATCTCACTTCATTGTATAACAATCTCCACTGATATTAGTATGAACAAGACTAAAGAGAAGAACATTGAATCGAGATACATATATATAACACAAGTGTATTTGCTGCTCATTTGTATCGCTCAGCAATCTGTGAGACAGGAAACTAAAACAACATTCATAAAACTCTCTCTGAGCTTATCAGCGAACAAGAAAAACAGAAAAGAAAAAAAACCTGAGATCGGCTTGTTTTTTCAATCCTCCAACATAAGAGGTAATCTGGTAGCAAAAAAAAAGTATAACGTCATTTATGAATTTCTAAAACTGTCATTCGTAGAGCTGGAAGTACCACGCTGGTTTGTTACAATCATTTTTTTATATCCACTTGGTCGGACAACGTAGGAATTCGTCTAAAAACACCCTGCTTCAATTCAGATATAGTAAAAATGCAGCACTTAATATTTTTAAATTTTGATGTCAAAATCAAATTCAACTTCGCTGATAAATCCAAGCATATTTTGATATGTATCATTTTCAGCCAATAAGCAAAGAGTGGTCCAAATTTGTAGATAAAAACTATGAAATTTTCAAACATTAACAATGAAAGCTACTGTATTGGCAACAACTGATAAAAAAACTTGACCAGTACTCGAAATCTAACACTAAAGCTATAATAGTAGAAGGGAAGGGGAAGCCTGATAATGGTTCCTGGTGTGCCGCAAGAAAGCAAAGGGATGAACAAAAAAGCAAAACAAAACGACATACTGGTGAGTTTGTTCCACTGGAAACATAATATGTACTCTGCTGCGCTGGACGACTGAGTACTGGAGTTGATTGTTGCAAGCGTCCACCACTAATGATGCTAACATACGGTTGCTGGGTAGAACTTCGAACAGATACCGGCGAGCTCTGTGGACGGACCACATAAAGTGGTGAACTAGACAAAGAAGTCACAGGTTGCTTTGTACCTATCATCAAACGCTGCTGTTGTTGCTGAAGCGGTTTGTAACTAGTAGAATAAATGAAGGAAATTTTAATCTCCAGTAACTCCTCTTTCCCTCTTAAATCTTAATGAATGCAAATATACACTAACAGCGGACGCAGCCGGCCTTCGATCACTTCCAGATCTGTGAAGAATAGCAGAATGTACATTGTTGTTATTTGCTGATGCACTAGTAGGTATTATTGATGCATGTTCACTTGTTACTGCTCTGTAAAATAATATTTGTTGTAATTTCTGTACTGTTTTGTGGTAATTTCTTAGAAAAGGCTCTGGAATTTATTACAGAACGAAAAGATTGTGATGTTTTTCGGATTACAATAACGTTACGTTAACAAAAATAGTGATCATCATTAATATTTAAAATTCGAAATTCTGAGCAAAGATTAAAAACTGTCCGCTATAAGTATATAACATACTTGTATACAGTTTCGCCAAATCCTCCAAACATGTTCTGATAGTCCGCAACTTCTTTCAGTCCAGTTGGTTTTTGGGTTTTTACGAAATGTACCAATACTTTCTTAAAACAAGAACTTTTTAAATGAAAGTGTAGAAAAAATTCATAAGGAACTTTTGAATGAAATTTTTAAAAAATTATCGACAGTTAAACAAACTTACGGTGACGAAATTTTGAAGTTTTTCGGCGGCTAATTTGTCAACCGTGTTCGGTTTGTCCGACATTATTCTCCGAAGATCGTTGTGCAGCTGAGCAGCTCGGGGTATTACCACAGAATGTACAGTCTATAACAAATTCGAAAATTGGAAGGTAAGAATTTGCACCTAATTATAATGCGAATAATTGAAATGTTTTGTGAACATTGTGACATATACCATTCTTATTAAGTAAAATGCAAAAAAGCATTAGAGACTGGCACTGAATACAATAAAATAAATTGCATAATCTAAAAGTATTATATGACGAGTATAATTATTCAGTTTTATTTTATGTATTCATATATTACTCCTATAGAAATTTTATAATAAAAAGGAGTACGTCAACGCCAAGCTCGTTCAGAGCATACAGTGATCCGTACAATGCCGCAAGTGTACAATTTTCATCAAGCCAAACTTGAGCAAGCACTTGAGTTACACGTGATCGTAAATGGCTGATGCTGTATGATCTGAAAACTTCTATTTCATATAAACTCTTTTAACATCATAGAAAAAAAAATTACAGAGCTCAGTTTCGATTTATGATAAAATTATAAAAAACCAGCGCACGTTTCAGTGGTCAGAGGATTACTTATAAACAATTTTCATTTTCTTCTGTATAATACGTATAAAAATCCTACCTGCACAGATTGGCTAACAAGCGACTGGAAAACTCCCGCAATGCCCAATGATTGTCTGTTTCTGGGCGAGCACATAACTGCCGACTCAATATGCACGATAGTACAGAAGGCAACAACTCATGTAGCTGTAAACTTCAGGATAGGTAATTCAAATAATTAGGAAATACAAATAAATCACTCTCAAGAGAAAAAAATCCACCGAAAAGTATTATTGTCTGATTGGTCAAGACTAATGGTCAGCATATCCAATTTCCCATATAGATTCGTAAGTTCACTCTCGTTTAAACACAAATCACAAACCGCTAAAAAAAAATAACAGTAACTGACACAACGTTCCAATGACAGTGCTGGATTATTTGCCAAACTCTGGATCATCCTCATCAAATATATTAGAATAGCCAGATTGTGCTGCACAATATTGCATCGAACCTTAATTTTAAAAATACAGTAAAAGTTTTCAATAGATGCAATCATGAGATATAAGCAACAACAAGAACACTTAGATAATAAAAAGTAGTGAAGAAATTGCAGAGTAAAGGACGAATAAGCAACCAACCCCTTCAACAATTGCCACCGAAAACCTAGGCAGTAATTGTTGCAAACCCGCATCTGTTTGAAGGCTGTACAATGCTTCCTGTAAATCAAGAATTGGTAACCACAGAATCACAGAAACAAAATTAGAAACATTATGCTGGGTAGAAAATATAAATACCTCTACGAACATTGTTATATGATATTAAAACTATCCTAATCTCAATAACTCAATGTCCCACTCGATATTAAAATGAAGATATAATATATATAAATGTGACAAAGCTTTGCTTTATCACAATATCAAATCAGCGAAGTATAGAAAATCAAACAAGCTTACCGTCCTTCTTGTATCATCACTGCCCATAATAGCCTCGGTGATTTCTTTAAAGAATACCTGCTGCTCCTGAAGAAGAAAATTAACTTATGTCAGACCCAATTGAGTTTTTTTTATTAGTATAAAAGTCCACCACTGTAAAATTAACCGCAAGAACATTAAAATTAGTTACATAAAACCCGACTTGCAGGATACAGAAGTGATAGAACTGCAGAAACTCTAACAAGCTTGGAAAATATTGACGAAATAGTTTTTTGTAGGCCCAAGAAAAGTTAACAAAAAACAGGCAGCAATAATTCAGCCGATTTTTTCTGTTGACTGCCTACCTCAGATATCGTAGAAAACTTTCAAAAACATGAAAATGTACATACCGATATATAAAGCATTAAATTATATATGTAGGCATTAACACACCACGAAATGTAAAAATAGGAAGTGAATAATACGTCAACTCACAATCCCTATGTAAAGCAAAAACGGACCACGGAAAGAGCGTGTGTAGATGTTGTTTTAATTTGCACTTGTTCAGTTTGTCGCAGACCCCAATGTGCCTTTGATAATATCGACAGACCCGTATCAACTGCTGCTTTTTCGGTAACAACCATTACTGGTGCTTCTGCCTCTACTACAGGAGCTGGATTCTCCGGTACAGCTGGTTGCACACCATCAATCACCAACCAATGAGCTGAAACGAAGAGTTATTTTTGCACTCTATAAAGATAAGGTGAATTTATTGCATAAGCCTTACTGGAAAATAATTCGCATGCCATAATGAAATGAAATATTTGAAAAAATGTAACGAAGGGATAGAAACATCTGAGATGGTTTAAAATTTTTTGCAATTCATTAAAAACAACAGATATACTGAAATTACCGGAAAAACAACTTGAAGAACATGAACAATAAGAAACGAAGAACATCTACTAAAAACTTGCATTTAATACTAGTTTCAAGAGGTAATTTGGCTGCAGGTGCATTAACTATTGGTGTGATTTCTACATCGCGATCGTCCGTAACAAACAAGTCACGTCCCAACGATCCAGCAAAACGGAAAGGTAATCCTTCTTTCACGGTGAAACCAAATAAAGGCTAGAATAAGATATCTGATTAAACATTATTTCTATTTCTCTCTTCTCCTTTCTTCAAGGCTGTTCAGAAATGAGATTTATAATACTTAATTCTTTTATTAAAAAATAAAAATTCAAATTTCTTCAACGAAAAAAAGTATTTAGCCAATAATATATCGGAAACAGAAGTACATCAAACAGGAAAACGAGCTTACATCACGAATCTAATGTAATTCTCGCATTATGGTAGACTGGAAAGAACCGAAGAGTGGGCGGTGTTCTTACATTCCCTTGCAGTTGTTTATAAAATTTTGAAATAAAAAATTAGTGCAAGCGCGTAATTTTTTAAAACTATAACAAAAATTAATACCGGATAGCCACACAATGTAAATGCTGAATCGATGTCCTCAGCTGTAAGACGTTTACGACGACCGTGTACAGTGAATTTCTTTGCTTGTTCAATTACCATCTGAAAACAAAAACTCATCGATTAAAGTCGTATGCTGTTGCTAAAAACCAAAAATACAGTAGAAGCAAAACCGGAAGCTATACATATACATAATTTTGAGAGAGCAAGCTGTTACCTTCACCGCATATGTCGTTTGAACGGCTATTTGAGATGCGCAAACATCAGGGAGCCCTGCTATGCCAACGGATTCTGCCACTACCTAGAATTCACATCTGGACTGTCAAATTTACAAATGAATCGGGTAGAATTCAAGTTTGTAGTAGCAAAAAGAACAGCAAAAGAGATTGTATCCAATGACAACAAAAATTGGGCGAACTATGTAGCAGGAAAAAAGCTATATGACGGAAATAACCTTAACATATGAAATGCCGTATTCCGCATCCACATTCGCTGCTCCGGAATTGATGGTGTGTGTATTTGTTGTACCTATTAACACTATAAGTTCAAAGCAAATTATATAAATAAAACCTCAAAAAAAACTTAAAATCAAGAAATTCAACATTATAAAATTAAATACGCATATCATTGTCGAACTAATATCTACAAGGAATTCGATTCCCTTAGTCTTGGGGCAAAAATATATCAGAAACAAAAATTTTTCTTTTCAGAGCAATTCGAATTTTCCTCTACGAATTATTATGCCTGCTATTTTGGGAAACTTCTTTATTAGTTTTTTCACTTCATTGTTCACTAATCTACTTCGAATTTAGCAGTTGCAGTCAGTCTAAAAACAAAAAGCTGATAAACAGGATAATGAATAGTCCGAATGTTCGATATATAATTTGCAAATAACCATAACAGTGCCCACCAAAAATGATAAACACGAACCAGATGTGCTAGCAACATTCTGATGCCCACTATTAATTACACGTTGAACATTATTTGGCATTACACCGTTTCCACTGTTGCAGTGCTGAACAGCGGGATTCAAAAAATCTACCGCGTTTATCACGATTTCACGAACTACTAGGGCGCTAAATATCAATCCACAAATCCCGAATGGAACAAATTTTTACATTCAAAGCACCTGAAAAAAAGCAAAAAAACTGTGAAAGGGAGTAAGTATAGAAGGAATGAAGTCAATGTACCGCATAGCCTGAAACCAACATTTGACAAAAAACTCACCTATAAGAGAGAAAATCGCCGACATTTTCCTTATACGTTAATATCAATATATGCATGTAGATATTTTACACGAAGTACATGCCTTAAAGCATGTGAACAACAACATCCATAAGTTTATGTATAAGCTAATATCACATATTTCATTATTACTAAAAATTATTGGAAGATTTTTTAATTTCAAATAAATCCTTTACAGTTGCAACGATGATATGCACGGTGACTAATACCATTATTTAACTATAACACATTTAAAATAAAAATTTACCTATATGATCAAAACGGACAGCAATAATTAGAATAAAAGTATATAAAAAGACAGTGATAAAAAATACATTTCAAGATCATAGTGATACATAGTTTTTTAAACAAAAACAATATATTATAGCTTAAAATACTTGAAAACAATCAAAATAAATATCTTCCACTCCTTTTTCTCAAAAAACGAGCAACGAAGCGAGACCATAAGGTTATCTACAATTCCCCTTTGAATTTTTAGGAATAAGAAATAAACAGTTTCGATAAAATAAAACATTTCGATGGATTGAAATTAAGATTGCTCATTGTAAAAAGTACCGAATGAACTGACAAGTATGCTATCACATATGTATTTGGAGGACAGCATCAATACCTGCCTCATTACATCGAGAAATAAATACTACCATAAATAACAAATTCCTTACGCCTGAAATCCCAAAAAAATATTTCTATAGATGAATAAAAGAGACTTGTTGAATTTTAGATGGTAAACTGAACATTTATTGTCCCCCGAAAAACAGTTCTCTCTAAATCTCTCATATGCACAGTCTTCAAATAAAAAGTCATCTTTTTTATAAAGCAAACATAACAAAACTGTAACGTGACAAAACAGATGAACGCAAGCACCATTAGGGTTATCACCCGTCTTTTCGCAATACGCTGCTAACAATATGCGCCAATTCTTTCTCCAGAATTGGTAGAACAATAACACCTTCCTCATCTATGAATGCTCCTATAGATTTCAACACCTGAAATGTTGGACAATATTACTTTTCCACTGAGAATTATTACAGGCAACAATTTATACTTGTTATCAAAAAATATTATTGACTATGCAATATATTTCTTTACAATTCTGAAAAAAACTGCATACTTTAATGTATCCTGTACGCGATTCTTGCATATATTCGGCTTCCAGGGTATATTTGTCATCGTATCTATAAATTTAGTGAACTATAACAACAAATGTTTTGTCAAATTATAGAAATTTTACTTACAATCAATAAAGATTACTTGAAAATAAAAAACCAACTTTTTGATCGATGACGACCATTTCCAGTATCTTTTAGGAGTTCGTCCACTTGGATCCATTTCTACGCCTTGATAGAAAGTACCTTTTTCAATATACCACTGATACAATTGTAAAACACCCATTAATATGAAATATGTAATGGAACATGTTGCAAGCACCTAAATTTTCCACAGAACTTATATTATAAAGACTATACAATTCACAAAAGGAATGAATGATCAAATCCCAAATACAATTTATGCAGTAACGATAAAAGAATGTAAAGATTTATGTATAAATATAAACACATATGACATCAGAAAAAATCACCGGTTTCGATCTTGGAAATGGCTCATTATAATCATATATGAGGCCGATAGCAGCAAAAGCAACAGCAACAGTAGATATTATTAGTCGCCCATCTGCCAGCGTATGTCTCTCAGTCCAAGTATCATATTTTTCATTGAAAATCTGAATTTTTCGGAAGATTGCATGCAGAAAAATTATTTCTGCCAGAAAATTATTTCCTTGAGCCATACAAGTTACTCATCCACTCTTCCCACCCGTCGCTATGAGTGCGGAAACTTTTATTACTTTCAAACAAATAGTGAATTATAAACGAAGCCTAAAATCTAATCATTCATCATTTTTGAATCATTGATGAGCAGATAATTAAATGATACTGTTTGAAAAATTCAATAACTTTCTAAAAACTTATGTTGGTTTTAACCTTCCTGACTGCATCGTCAATTGTGTTTCTTACACTTGGTCCATCCCATTTATTAACTCGCATTTGATCATAAGCTTTATCCATCACTGTTTTAGAAGTTATTCCACTACTCTGTGAATTCTAAAAAGACACCGTATGTAGATCATTGGGATAACACAATATTGTATGTTACAGATATCAATTCAGGCTTGCTAATTTATAGTATGTAACTAATTATGTTGGCTCAAGTCACTAATTTTTCATGTTCCCCACGTGCAAAAAACAATCCACGAATTAACCAAAAGCTATACGATAAACAAACAATCAAAGCAAGCAAAGGGAAGACGGAAGTAAACAAGGAAATAACAGTTACTTCTTTTCATGTTCTGAAGATTTAAGTATAAACAAATCTCTGACTTCTTACCGAAGAAAACAAACTTACTTTAGATGGCATGACTGCAATGACTGCAATTTTTTTGCTATAAATATTGTCTGAAAAATGTATTTTAATTGAAATTTACTTTATCGTAACATGTCACGTAATATGTAATGAAGATAAAAATATCATGATAGATATTGGCAAAAGAGGCTTCGACAAAGATTTCTACTTCAGTCAAATCTTATTTAACTTTGTCTCAGCTCAACTTATTAGACTGAACTGAAACTTTTACAATAACCCGACATGTCACTGCAAATGTAGGACTAAAATATCCTGGGCAAAAATACCCATGCATATCAAGAACACGATTTACAGCTTTCCTGGACAATTATAAACCTATCACTTCCTACCAAAAAGGTAATAAAAGTTAATATTTCATTACATCAGGATCTCTCAAATACAAGAACAGAAATTCTAAAATCGTTTGCTCCACTATCGTTTACTGTAGGTGATAGTGTAACTTGAATACTTAAGCAAGGAATAAATCTAATATGTAATCAATAATTAGTAACAGCGTAGTGTGAAAATGTATAAAACTCCAATCGCTGAATATTTTATCCTAATCTACGAACGAGTTCTTCCTATCTCATGTTTTCCAACAAAATTTGTGTTGATGGATCATATATTTCAATAATTTAGATGAACGCAGCACAAGAAGCTAAAATCATAATTTTCGCTAAAAAGTTGCACAAAGAATCAGTTAACAGCGAGGGTAAAGAGTTATCTGGATCCATAACATCACAGGCTTCCCTGCACAAGCATATTGGAAGAACCACAAATTACTTAATTACTCGAGATACAATAGGCCCAATTATCTTCGTCCATAAACTCATCTTTCTCGATCCATACTACTTTAAACTACTTAAAACTTGAAGTATCTAATGAAGTGTTCAACTACTTCAACAAGACAGAAAAGGCATTTTCGTAAAAATGATAAAATGATTGGAAAAAAAATTCCCAATCGGACCCAGAAAGTTAGAAATATAATGCAACAATGTAGCTTCACTTTGAAAATCATTAACTTTAGATTAGCAATTTCCTGAGAAAATCGCAACTTATTGAACGACACTACACTCCAAATGACCCACATTTTTGAAACGGATGTACGTGCGCACCTCCGGTTCCAATTTCCGGAACTCTCTCTATACCTGCTAGGAAGCGGTAGTAGCATTCTAATAACACACGTCACCACGGTGATAGGATAAGCCATCAGACAGAAAAGGAATTCCTCGGTCCAACATTTGTCATCAGTTAGACGTTAAAGATAAATTAGGAAATATACAAATATAGAAGAACAAAGAAGAATAGAGGTTCTCATTGGTATTGGAAGATTTCCAAGTGTTGTTTTGCAACGAAAACGTGACTTCCGATCGATATTTACTGAGATTGATGCTCGCACACATGATTGTCATTCGTTGGCTTGGGATCGTTTGGTTGCGCTTGGTTTGTCTGTAGGGTTGCGTTCCTGTGGGTTCTGGGCATTACGTGGTTTAGACCCCGTGTTCTTGGATGTTTCCATATGCTCTTTTAGCCTTTTTGCTATCTACTATGAGTTTTTTTTCTATAATAAGTGAAAGCCTCATAAGCCAAACTATTTTCAGAGGGATTTCGTTTGTTGAGTCCTCAGCATTTTTTTTTTGCTTCAACCTAACTGAAAAAACTAAGATTAGTAGAATATTATTGGTTAATGTGTCGTATCCCAAATAGCAATCTTGTTCGTAGCTAATCAACATGTGTTTTTCCTGTCTGTGTTTTGAAATAATAAGGACATACAGTCAAAGGTCACGTTCGTTTTGCTTAAAATATATTTTTGCAGAAAGTCTGTTGATCTTGCTCTTCGCTCAGTTACTTGCCCACGAGCTAAGAGTTATTGTGGAGTATACGTCAAAGTTTCATCACTGAACACACGTTACTGTTTGCTAATTTTTCAAATTTCTTACTTGTATTGGACAATGGATGGTAGTATTGTTGATAACAAACTTAATATGTCGTTAGGTTAGTTTTATTGGATTTATTATTGCGATCCTAGTGAGTTTATTTTAATTTCTGTGATTTTACGGCATTCTCAAGTTCAATTTTCCTCTCTTTTCGCTCGACTTTCAACGAATTTTGCTCAGCGTTGCAGAAGCACTTCTTACGTTGGATCGCTTGCAGTTTTTTGTTCTTTAGGATTTCTAATTTAATTCATTCTCTATTTTTTTTTCATTCTATTTATTTCATTCTATTTCACTCTTTATTTCATTCCGTGGTTTTCCAGTAATAACTTTTGTCTTACAGACGATATAATCAAAAAAGAACGTAAAGCGAAGCAGCGACAGCAGGATAGTGGTATGCAAGGGGCAGCAAGAAAACGTGTGATTTCAAAGCGCATTAACAGAGTAATTCTTGATTTTGATGACTTTTATAGATTTCTCTGATCATTATTAGTGATAACGAATATTTTTATGTACTCTGCAGTTGTATTTAGTGAATTGATTGAGCTTATACTATAATTTAAACAGAAGTCTTGTTTCTATGTATATGGTCATCATCTGCTATTATGTATCATTGCCTAACAAAAGTGAAATATTGGAACACGTTTAGGGCAGGCAACCAATTGTCGTGCGTTCATTAACACGTCGAAACCGCCAGCAAACTGCTGTAAGTGGTGGTCTCTCCACAGTAGCTGCGATGAAAGTTGTTAATCAACTCGTTAAGGTATTTTCTTCATCTTGGTCAATTTATGCCTACCTTAATGCTTTTTTCGATAGTTTGAGTCGTTGTGCCGAGCATGTATTGTTGTGTTTTATGACTTTACGTAATATGAAACATCTAATTTTTGTTCGCATTCAATATTAATTTTAATTTATTGTCATGTTTGAGAAAGCGATTCGACGACGAGTCAACCAGTCACTTATAAATCGTGCGGTGACATTGCGTCGTCGCGCCGTTCGACGGAATTCTGCTGTTAGACCAGCCGTATGTTCAGCTGCCATTCCTCTTTTTGTATGGGCTGCAAATGAGTTGGAAAACTCTCTTCACACAGGGCGCAGCTGCGTTGTAATGTGCTGCTAAATGACTGAAGCTCAGTGATTTAAAAATGATCGTCGCCGAATTGACAAGTTCGATGAGAGCAGCACGAAAAGTGCGCTGTGAACAAAGATGGCATCGAGGACTGTTGTTGAAGAACTAGAAACAGGAATTGTTATGCCATGGTGTTACATCAGATTCATACGGCACATTGTGATGGAGTTTTGTTGGCGATTGCTTAGCATCTTACATCACATAGCTTTAACCGGAGGAGGTTTGCCGTCAGAATGCCAAAGGCACTGAGCCAGCCCTGTTATTATTATTATCATGAAAGAATGGCCTTTGATGGGTTCTTGACTTGGTGTTTTGAAAATTCTATGGAATTTGAGTGATTATCGCCACTTACTATACTGTACATACCAGACGGACAATGATTTTAGAAAAAAAGTTACCGATCGAACCGAACGGTATGACGATCATCCGGTGAAGTTTTTTGTTCGTTGTTGATGAGTTTTGAACGAAATGCAAGCCTTTTTATTCATTGCTTTTTCTCATCATTTTCGTTATTTTTATGGATTTACTTCGCACTTTGTGTGAAGAGTAGGTACTCTTATTTCCCAAGATTCAAGGAGTGAGTTTTTACGAAGTATGCGGTAATAGGGATACATTATTCTAACTAAGGGTTCAGTAGAGGGCGACTTTTATTTTCAGGTGAGAGGATTACGTGCACGCAGGCAAGCAGCAGTTGTCGGATCACGTCTCGTGGGTCGCTTATCAGGTGTTAGTCAGCAGTCGCGAGTAATTCGCAGAAATACAGGAAGGAGTGTGCGCAGACAATCAGTGATCTTCGCTCCACCCCAGGTAACACTGATAAATTGGTTGATTATATTTAGGGCACATGGTTTTCTGTACCATCTTGTCGTTTTAGATGGCACGTGGTCGACGAGTATCAAATGTGGGACAACTTGCTAGTGGAAGTGAGACATTCGTAGTTGCGCAGCGTGAAATGTAAGTTTGTGAATAATTTAGTCAGGTTGTCACTTATCATTTTTTTTGTTTTAATATATATTTGAGGTGTAATATCAGTGAATTAGATGCTTTTTGAACTTATGTCGGGGAAAGGAAACACTGCCACTGTATACTTAAACGAATACCGATCACTAGAATTGGAGAATTGGGGAAGCTTTTACAAGGCAAAACAAATTACATAGAGATAGGATAAGCACAGTCATGGTAACTATTATATGAAGTAGTAGGGTATGGGTTGATTGCAGCGCTCGTCCAGTGCTTCAACAGAAGGTATTACGCCGCGAAGTAGTAGCTGCACAACCACGTCGTGAGGTTATAATGCAGCGTCGTGCACGTCCAGTGATAGTTGAACAGCAGCCCATAATTATTCGTCGTGGAGGGATACGTAAACGCGCTATTTTGAACGAACCAAGTGTCGCTGTTAGAAATGCGGTATATTTTTTTGAATTGCTTCTAAAAAAAATGATTCCCAAGATCGTTGTTGTCATTTAATAGTTCCGCTTCACAAATCATTGTTGCAATCATAGTGTGCTTTAGCCGCGACAAATTCGATTTCGCGCACAGCCTGAATTTGGACGTGTTCAGCATTTTGTCGACACACGACCACATAATCGTATGATTCGCAGGGCGCAATATATCGTCAATCCAAATGCGGCACAAATGCGTAAAGCACTGGGAATTGGTTTGCGAAGAGTAATTTTCACAAGTTGTAATTGATCCCTTTGTAAGCTGGATGTGTAGTATCATTTTGTTAGGCTGAGTAATTGCTCACTAAATCTCCTATGTATATAGTAGTGTTATATGAATAGGATATTTTTTGCGTGACAGGTGCTTTTCATACTTCCCACTTGCTAACTAAAAATTTTTGAAAGTAGCAGCTACTTTTTTTCTCCAATTAAGAATTTCAGTCGGAGCCACAACGTTTCGAATCAAGCAGCACGTTTCTTCAGCGTGTACCAACTGTGCATCGTCGGGGACGTGGTTTCCAGGATGTGCTTTATAATTAATTAAACCCTTTTTTCTCTGCTGTTTATATGTTGACAAGATGTATTATGCTCATTTGCTTTTTTACCGGCACCAATTCTTTACTGTACCACTTACTATTTAGTAATGATTGGATTTCTTATTTTAGTTCTATTTCAAATATATTTGGTTGCCGAATTGATTATTTAATCTTCTATAAGCTTTGATGAAAAATTGGTAATACGATGTCGTCGCTTTTATTTGGAAGAAGTGACAAAGATGAATCATTGTCATTTCGGTTTGAATACGACTAATTTTTTCATGAATTGCAACTGTTTTGCTTTTCGTCATTTTCTTTTACCCCCTGTTTTGTGGTGATATCTCTAAATGATTTTTATATATAATAAAATTGATAAAAATATAAAATAAGGCGGCTGTTTGAATGTAGTGCTGCAGAATTTGAATGTGTTGTTGCAAGTAAAGGGAAGATCAGTAATTTATGAATGGCATAAGATGGAAAGCTTTGATTTTTTTAATACGTAGAGAGCAGGGAGTTTTCTTGAACAGTCCATGAACCTGCTGCAGTGTTTGGAGGACAGCATAGCTATTACAAATTACCCCTGTTAGATATGAGATATGAGAAATGATTTCTGTATAAATCAATTCTTAAATTCCAGGTCGAAAATTACTAAATCAAGGATTAAAATTCAATTTTCCGTACTGTCAAGTTATGTGGGACCTATATCGAAAGTGGTACGTGTCAAAAAATGAAACAGCCGCAGAAGGCACTGTTATTTGCTAGCCGATAAACCAGTGTGGACGCAGTGGGTGGATAAATTTATTCGAGTTGTCGTATGATAAAGGGTGGTGTATTTAAACAAGGTTTGAGTATGCTGCTTTGGTCGATAGGACTCGTCCTGCTTTGCGACGAGTCAATGAAAGGGAGGGTCTTCATTGCTCGAATAATACCATGGAAGTCAGCTGTTAGGGGTTGATCTATCAGAATTTGCAAAAATATCAGCAAACAAAATAGTCACAATGAGGACTTAAAATTAAAATAGTATGCATAAGTTATGGAACTTAAAGTGGATGCAGTTCAAGGAGATGGCAGCTTAAAAAGTTGTGACACTACACAATTATCCTATAACATGGAATTAACAATTCCTGTGTTAATTTCGTAATACAATTCGCTGGAACCCCCGAAAAAACGCACATTCATTGTCACAGATCAATTATGTGAGGTATGTGGAGTGCTGCTTGATAACATCTGAACAACCAATAATTCAGAAGTAGTCATTTGACTTGCAAATCGTTCGAGAGACTGAGAATCAATAATTTCGATCCAGAAATGCTGGATTTTCACTTCACGACCTGACAATTGAAGTCAGGTATGAATATATATGTTAAACCGAACAGTATTCTCGTATAGGAATATCATGACTCTTGATAGTGGACAAAGAGCAAATGCAACTGTCAAGAAGTATTCTTGATATTACGTGTACACTGCAGGCATTCCTTGTGATGCTAACTCGTTAAACTTCTTGTGAAGCACCGAAGATGCGTCGATTGTTTACCTGATGATATAACTGATATCAATGATATGTAACAAATTACTGATCACTGTGGGCCTAGTATTAGAACGAACCATCCGAGGGTGTCCCGCATCCCTGTAGATAACATCAAAAGTGCATACTGGTCTCTTTCGACACCTTTTGTGCGCATTTGTTTCTGCAAACTTCCTAGCCGTCAACAGTTACTAAAAACTACGTGAATCCGGAGAAGCCAACTAAGGTTATAAGAGTAAAATATTCAAGAGCTTGGCACTCATTTTTCTTGATAAAAAATTGTTCACATCAGATAACGCACCGTCGCTCTGACACATTGAGCAAATAATTTGAGATACTCGAGTAACGATAGTTCTTCAAGACAAAAATATCCATCACTGATTACTCCGAAGTCACTTTCATTATATCTATGCGAACTAAAATCTTATTTGAATTTCACGGTTTCGAAAAAATCATGTATCTTCAAAAATGAGAACCTCTTTATCTGATTTAAAAATCGTCAACACCAACCATTCAGAAGCACACCATATATTCGAAAAACGTATGTTTCGTAATGAACCCACCAAAAAATTGCTGGTGAAATCAGGAGGTGAAAGAGATGACTGTACAAACCGCGAATTTTACAATTGTCACATAACACGATACATCAGACAAAAACATAAATTCAGCGAAAGAAAAATGGCCCGACATATCAGATGCATCAAAACAGAAATTTACAACCAACAAAATAATAATATTAATAAACAGTTGAAAACAACTTTTTAAATAGAAATTTGGAAATTTTAACTTACAAGTACAAGAAGGGGAAAATCGTAGAGGGTTCATCACGCAATAATCTCACTGCGCATAAATTTGTGTTTTCGGAAAAATGGTTGCTTAAATTTAACTCCGAAATCATAAATCTCCTGTTTAATTAGAACACAAAAAATGATTTGTTTACTTGATAATTTATGGAGAGTTTATACAGTCATCTGTTTGTTTGCCTACTAAATTAATATATTCATTTAGATGAAAAGTTAACTTCGGATACTTGCTAGACATTTTATTAGTAGAAATAACTTACAACAGAATAGAAAACATGAACAAGAATTCTCAAACATTTACTCAAAGTACTTATCTATTGCATTGAAAACAACTAAAATTTTTAACAGAAAAATAGAATGCTAGATCACTACAAAAAAAACGATATGCCGATCTCATCAAGGCTAGTATTTTTACTGCTGAAGCTGAGGTAAACATCTGAGAAAAAGTTGTAGATGAAGTGAAAAGACGAACTGCTCTATTTTGAGAATTGACAGAAAACCATTAGTTGAAAACTACCAGTCAGAATTGGCTTTTGAAGCAAGGAGTTGAAAAATGCAAGACTTTCAAACAAATTATGTATAAATTCATTATTAATCAACATAGTACAGCTCAAACGGGTTCGACTTCCTCATCCATAACGTCACACGTTTCCGGAAGTAAGATTTCCGGATCCACAATCTAAATAGATTAACAATTAGTTAGCAAGGATGCTATTGCTATTAATTCCTTTTAGAAAAGAAACTTCCTTCTCTAAAAGGATGCTATAACTTCAACTCAGCTATCAATTTCTAAACAATGTTTGATAATTTCACAAGAAACTTTCTTCTCTAAATTTCTGTGCCTATAGATATCAGTTCAGTAAACATCCCAAGATGACTGAAATCAAACCGCAAATTAGCATCACACTGATGAATTTTATTTATTAAATTAAAACCACACAGAAATTTTACCTCGAGATCACCATGTTCAATAAGCAAATGAACCCGCTTATGATAACTTTCGTGTTGTTCCATTGCCTTGCGGTCTGCGAAAGTTCTCAAGCAAACCTAAACCAAACATATTATATGAACAAATTTTACTCCCTTAAAGTTAATCTTTTTGCAAAAAACCCTCCCGTCTCTTCAAGCACATTTTCCATTTCAGATATTAGTTCAGATTACTTTATTCATCATTAACCTCTAGACCTTACCATTGATAAGAAAAAACAATGTCCATAAACGGAATCCATAAATTCCGCAAACTTAAACTGACCTAGAAAAGAAAGAAGCTTACTTCGCAAAACAATGGTCGTTCAGTCCTCGCCATCGGATGTTCAATATCAATATGTTCGACGCATTCCAACCTTGACATGAACACCACTTTACAAATGGGACAATCAAAACGCTCAAATGATAATGCACGGGCCTGCTCGAATATTTCATCAAGATTAAATGAGTTCTCCTCAGCTGATTTTAATAACTCTGATAGTCTTCGCATCTACAAATAAAATTATAAATCGTAGAATTTGTATAGTTAAGGTTGCACACTCATGAATTATACCGAAACATATGTTTAAAATGTTACAAGCAAACCCAAGAGGGACAGTCTCGATAGTCACGGAAAATGGTCTAAAAGTTCACACAGGGACAACTTTCAACAAAACATATTTTTAAAGTATGATTCTGAAATGATGTTAATCATTTTCATTTTTAATGCAAAAACTAGATGACAAAAAGCTACAATTTTTCCAAATCTCACTGTTTTTGATGGATGTTTTTCTTCCCTAATCCTCCTCAAAACAAAAAACCGTACAAGAATTTTTTTTTATTACCTTTTCAACTATGGGAGCACTTGGCAATAATTCCCCACGTCGAATTTTTTCAATCCACGGCCGCGCATCAGGACCTAAACCAAGTTTTCGCTTTCGCGGACGACTTGGAGGCGTAAAAAAGGGCTCACCGGCGCTACGCACTATTATGGCATCATCGGGAATATCTGCTGGTGGCCTGCGATTGCTGTAACGATAAGAATATCAACAGGAACCACTAAAAATTGAATAATGGGAGAAAGTCAGGAATGATATGCATGCGCTGATGAAATCAAGCAGATATAACTATTCTCTTAATTTATTTTCTAGACATTTCACGTACTTTACTAGTATAAAAAGAATAAAATGTAAGAACTTGAAAGTTCATTTAGCAGGATTTCTATTATATACTTTCACTGGATTTTCATTATATAACTGCATGACTTTAAAGATGCCGCAGTTATTTATTCACTTTATAATATCAAGCAATCTTATATGACGAAAGATTAGTGTAAGAAGGAAAATATAGATACGCATTTCTGGTTAAATAGAAACTATCTTCAATGTAATAAAAAAAATGCTAAACAGCTCAAGCTATATTAAATAAATAAGATAGTTGAAAGTCTCCTAGCAAATCAGATTTTATGGAAATTATAGACAAGCTTTAACAAATCTGGCACAACTTTGATGTTCATCCAAACAAATCGTAGGAATTGCTACCTTGCAAACGGCTTCCAGGCTTCTTCAAGCTCTTCCTTTGTTGAAACATGTGTTTTCAAATGTTTTTTCAAATTGCCCTTAAGTCTGCATGTTTTACCGCAATATGGACATGCATGAGGAGTAAAGCCACTGTGTACCGAGCGATGTTCAAATAAATTGGATTTAAATCGAAATGCTTTCCCGCAAATATCACAGCCAAACGGTTTTTGATCCGTATGAATTACGGCATGCTGTTGTAAGCCTAAAATTATCAGATTTCATCCCTTCTCAATTCCTAAAGAAAATCAACCAACATTAAGGAAATTGGATTGATGTGCTTCGAATGACCAATGTACGCTCGTAATTCTCAGCTGAAACTTTCAAAGGCACTCAGTTCTAACTCAGAAATCCATTTGGGTCCCGAAATAAATGATTGTTTTTCCACGAGGTATCCTTTCTTCCGTTTTTATATGTGCAATTTCAGTCATTGTCTGCAATTCTTGGTTCAACTATCATTCATAACTAAGTTTTTGGTTCACTTTCATTCGAATGATAAATCTCTATTACTTTCAATGAATGTTAAGTTTCTCTTGCTTATCAATCATATTTTGATATGTGGACATAGATAAATAATGGCAATAAAAGTATTAAATTTTTTCCATACATTTACCAAAACATTTACTAACTGTTTCAAATGCTAATTGTTTTTTTACATTTCACTTAATAGGTAATAGAAGAAACTCTGAAATTGCGTTAACGAAGCCTAGAAATGAAAACTTATTAACCTCCTGATTCGCTTTACATACATGACATATCGACATGGAAAAAATGAGACGAAAATGTTTTACCTTTAAACGAAACAAAAATTTTGTTGCATATATTACACTGATGTACAGCCCGCGGTTGGGTATGATGTGGAGTATCATCGTCAGTACCAAACTTAAAAAACAGACTAAGTTAACGATTTTTAAATATCATGCTTAAACGTAGAAATTTTGGAAATAATCAAAATTCTAGCATCATTATCAACCGAAACCTATATGTAGTCGTGGAGATCCTAAATCCTCGCATTAGGTAGAGATTTTAAGGCACGTTCTGATAAAAACCTATTTTGTAGTAATTCGGAATCGTGTAATTGGAGAAAAGTGTAAAATTCATTAAGAAACGTCAATTTTTGAATGCGAGTACTGGTAACTCCAAACCCTATTTGTTGTCTCATTAAATAAATATTCAAATTTACTTCATGTTCAGTAGTATATGTAGGATCATGGATGTCATCATCCATTCGCCGTAAATCATCATGTTCCGGATCCATCTGCTGATGATAAACAACACCATCCGGTGTCACATGTCCTCCGGTCATATCGTTGTGATGTAAAGCCATGATATGAACAACACATCCAGGTAGTTGAAAATCACAACGAACCCTTTCACCTTCTAACGACTCAGCAAATTATTCTATTATGTTAATAGCGTGCACTTTTATCTGGAATGTCCTAAAAACCAAATCTGGCTATTCTATGAGATACAGAAACAAATAACAGTTGCGGCGCAGTAATTGTCATGCCACGATGACCAATAACTATTGCGATTTTTCACATTCAATTTATTTTTCTTTCCGAAAAACTGCTTAACATTTTTTCAGAAATCTGTAAATTCAGTTTTTTAAAACGAAAACTGCAATATCAACTTAAATCTAAAATGATAAAAAGATAAGAATGAGCCATGTTATTCAACAGTTACATTTCATAGGATGGCTGAGAGAGGAGGGCAAGAAAAAATGTAACCCAAATTAACCTAGATTAAGCACGTCTTTGCCGTTTCAGAATGACAGAAAGTGATCAATATCTCTAGTTATCAACTTAAATTTGCTAGATTTGAGTAGCAACAGGACTAAGGCCTCAGTTAAAAAGATACCTCTAAAATGTTTCGCCAAGGAAAGTAAATTGTGGTATTCTGTTGAGAAAGAAATTAATCCTGGTATTCTTCACAGCTCAGCTTATCCTTTATCTATCGCCTTATAGGACAGAACACATAATCAGTTTTGAATTATGATTTCGCTGGTTTGTTTATAGATATCGTTGATTCCAGTTTAAAATTACTGTATGTAAGCAGAAATGAAATCGGATATGGGAACACGTGATCGATCCTTATCCAAAAAATTTCAAAATTTAAACTATAGCCACTTTCGGACATAAAATAAAGTGCACACTACTACTACTGCGTTCTAAACGAACGATCGGTTTTTCTGGTATGACATAGAAATGTTGGAAAACCGAAGGTGGCACTGAATAAACGTCCGACAAGTCATTTAAATCAGCTAAAGTGATAATGCTTACTAAAGATTGCTATTCAAAATTGATCTCTTTGTTTTTCATCGAAACAAACATAGAGGTCAGCGGTAAAACAAGAGAAGGCGGCCAAAACTGCGAGTATGGGCCGTTAAAAGAAAGCTGTAAAAAGTATAGAAGGATTTGGTTGGTTAAGAAGACTATATCTTCATAGGAAGAACAAATGAAAAGAGAATAAAATACCAGAAATACAAAGGGAAAAGAACTTACAAATTGAAAAATAATGAAGCAAAAAAATTTAACCCATAAAGAAAAGAATGATACGGAAACGAACCAGCAAAGTATATCTATATGAGAAAATACCTAACAAAAGGCGCAAAAGACTTCTTATCTTTAAAAACATCAAAATTGACAAGTGAAACGATCAAACTTCTTCAACAAGCTGCTTTTTAGCAGATGGTAAAAAGAAAGAAACAAACTTCCGACCGCGATGAAAATCGAACTCAGTATTTTTGTACAAACTGATTACAGACTGATTCGTACAAACTGAGCATTTTTTGACGGTAAGGAATACTTCAGAACCGTGTTACTCTGTCAAATTCATTTAGCTTATTTATTCGCTTTGACAATAAAGTGTCACAGAAGAAAATCACAATATCAATAAAATAAATAACAAGGAGGAGTGAGTCATGAACGTTATTTGAATTGAAACATAGTGAATATATAAATATGATGGTGTCAGTTCTTTTTCCTAAAACTCTATTATTTTTATTTCCTGTTAAATGAAGCCAAGCGTTAAAAGATTCGTCAATCACTGAAATAAATTTAAAGCAAAAAAAGCATTTCTAACTTCTTATGTGAATTATTGTTGGTGTCAGCAATGTATGTAAGCGTGTATGAATATGTATGTATATAACATGTATGTTTGATTGCAAATGAAGATTCATTGCAGGGATGGCTCCTAGCAAATTATGTTAATTCTACCGGATATAGTGGAAAAATGAATTCCTTTCAATGTAATTAAATTTACGTATGACAAATAAGGACAGACGTGGGAAAGAAAGCATAAAGGACGACTGCAGGACCAACATATCACTCATATATTTGATAGAGATCAAATTCCCGCAATTACAACAATCTGCCAATAATGCCATGGAGATTTTTTCGGCAACACGAAAGGTACCACTTACCTGGTAATTTTTGAAGATGTCACACACATGTATATACACATACATACACAAATGCACCACATGTCTACATACACAAGCGTGCATGCACACACACACACAAACATACACATACATACATATATGTGCATATAGGCACAAATAATCATATAAATAAGCACATGCATGGAATATTCAAGTACACATTCCCGGACACGTACGCCCACTTCACGTAGACATACACAACATACACAGAATACACCAACATACACCAATCCCGGTTGGAAAGATATGGTACCATACTGTATCGACCGGAACACATACATTGACATACACAGACACACAAACCTCAACACTACGATAAAAGTAGTGGCTATGGACACGGTAGAGAAAGAGGAAGGAAGAAACGGTGGCTCATCATCTCTTCGCCACAATACACAACCATATCTCACTCTTCTATTTCTTCTCTTCTCTTTCGCAACACACTCTTTAACCGTACTGTTTCATTATAAAACATACTTTTCCTTCAACGTCTGCAGCCTCGTATGACCACACATTCCTTCGTTTCTTTTACTATTCTGCATCACTTTTGTCGTAAAACATTCGATTAGTGTTTTTGACATGCTATAGGGAGAGAAAGCGGTAATACGAATATCGGCTTCGTGCCAACTTTTGAGTTTTAGCTTTTTTTTGCTTTTTCCATTTGACATAGGAGACTGTCCAGTTTGTTTGACCGTAAATCTTTGTCTTACTTGTTTTGTATGGAACTTCTTGAAAGAAACAATGTATATTTATATGAGTGTGTGTATGTATGTATGTATCTGTGCTTTCACTCTCCTCGTTACACTAAAAAGGGTAGTAATTTTCTGAAACTACCCTTCCCGTAGTTTGATAGTCTGATTATGAAGCTATATTTAGTTATGAGCTAGCTGGTATTCTCAAAAAACTTTTCATGTAGAGTATTTAATAATGATGCATTATTTACAGATCCACCATACATTATTATCATACGGTCTTCAATACTCTATTGAACACAAAAACTGGAATCGATGAATGAAATTCCAGGTGGATCGGTCAAGGGCATATGTTGCCGCCCAGAACGTCATATCTTATCCGTATTCGATCTTACAAAATGGTGCCGCTCAAAGGTAAATTCATCTGTTTGTGTAGTTCGAGCTATCCCTCACTTTTTTATTCATCAGGAATGCAACTTCGGTAGAACTCTGTTCTCACTTCTCATCATTCTACAGTAATTTTCTACTTAATTCAATTTTTTTGAATACGTGTATTTCTAAGAAATTTATAACAAAAGTCATCTTTCGGAAGTGTGAGTGTAAAATTTGCTCAAAACAAGCATCAAAAGGCCTCATTATTGAATATAGTAGCGGACGAAAGAGAACGGTATTATGCTCTTATAAGCGGCTGGATTACTTAAATTGATATCGGGCATAGTAAGTCTTAATCTTAATGTTTCGTAGTTTCATGGCTATTCACTGAGCAAGAATACTAATCATAATTGAACTTCTCGAGTCCTATTTCTTAAATAATGAGATCTCAATTTCTCATCTTTTAAATAGGGAAAATACTGATATAGTAAATTAACAAAGCCTATTGCCATTGGTGAGAGAGCTCTGATACTCGATATCATCTCATGTTTCAATATTCTATGGTTTCATGTTAATCGTACAAAACGAATAAAACCGTAACGAAGAATAAAAAACGAAGAATAAGATCTAAAAATATAGCTATAATTGAAAGAATTGAGCCTTTATAAGTCATATGTTACTTAAAATTTTTTCAGGCTTATATGGAATATATGGCAATGGTAAATGAACTGAATGATGCTGTGAAAGGTGTTTTGTCGACGGAAGATATCCCTATGAGTCCGAAAGTTATGGATGCAATTGACATTTTGGATGAACTCCAGGTTCCTTACATTCTTTTATTTTCAGAGGAAAGTTTCTAACTGACATCTTATGAAGAGATTCTCGTGTTTGTTTTGTTGTAATGTTCTTTTTTTTTCAATGTGACACTTGCCATGTTATACGTTCATAATTCATAACAGCAGCAATTTTACTTATTATTTTAATAACACCGAATTTTATACGCGCCTGTCTTTACCACTTAAAAGTAACTTGAAATAAGCTTTCACGAAGGTGCTAGCAAATAATACTCATAAATCTGAATTATATTTTGAACAATGTTGTCAAGTATTAAATAATGAGGATTATTTTTCAGAAATGGACATTAGAATATCCACCAGAAGATATAGGAGCACAACGTTTTGGTAATGTTGCTTTTCGTAAATGGCATCAGCGTCTGACAGAGGTTTTGCATTTTTGTGAATTCAAATAGTGTTCAAGCAGAGATTAATTTTGCGTTATATTATTTGTTGTTAAAAAGCTGTGAAGTTAGACTTTGATTCTATTTAATTTTTTTAGGAAGCCGACGATATAATTTATGGCCTTTTAACTGCAGAAAGAAAGAACTTTGTAATGGAATTAGTTCCATACTTTTTGGATTCATTCGGTAATGCAACGCGAATCGATTATGGATCAGGTTTTGCATTTATATTTTGCTCGAAATGATCTATGATAACTGAAATGGGTTATTAGTTTCTCTTAACTCTTATTCATTCCACGATGCATTAAAGAATCTTTTAGGGCATGAAGCCTCCTTTCTGATATTTATGCTTTGCCTTCGCAAACTGGGTGTATTTGTGCCAGCAGACAATCGCTCACTTGTGCTACGATTATTTCTGAAGTAAGTTTATTTATAATGTAGACTATAGATGAACTATAGGTTATTAATATGCATAATCTATTTCGGCGTGTATTTCGTTTAATATTACTGATTTTAAATTTGTGTATTGCTTCTCTTTATTTAAATATGCTTTCGAATATTATGATATTATATTATTACGCTGCATGTTTACTTTTCAAATTGTTTGATGAATAAATCCAATGAAATTTTGTGCTTTTTTTGAAGTTTTTTGATGATGAGTGTTTTGTCTTCACTATATTCTGCTTATCGGTTTTAGATACATACGATTGATACGGTGTCTTCAAACTACTTATAGAATGGAACCAGCTGGAAGTCGGGGCGTTCATGCACTAGATGACTTTCAGTTCATGCCTTTTCTTTGGGGCAGCTCTCAGCTTATCGGTAAACAAATTATATTAAAAAAACCAGGAACAAATTCAAATTTTATCTTTGCTGCCAGGTTTTTTCATTTTTTGCAATATCTTTTGTTGCAGGAAATAAACGATTGATACCAGAGTCTTACTTGAAACCTGACATTGTCGAAATACATGCTTCAAAGAACTTATTTTTTGATGCTGTCCAGTACATCAATAACGTAAGATTTAATTGCATGAAGAAAACTGAGTCTTTCTGGAGATGATGGAAGAACTGTTAAATCAACAGTACTGACAATCATTTATGAGCAGTGATCTGGCTTGAGGGTTAAGCGTCTTTTATATTTCGGATTTTTTTTCTATGAATTATAAAGCTTTACAAAGTGGTCCGACAGATGTTAAATGGTTGAAAAACAGTATAAAAAATGATTACTCGTTTCACAGTGAAACGGGCGTGAAACGGGCAAGCAGTCTTTTTGTTACGAATGATTTTGCATTGAATTCTAACATTGTTTTCAATTTTTAGACAAAAAATGGTCCTTTTCATGAGCATTCAAATCAGTTATGGAATATTAGCGCCGTGCAAACCTGGGAAAGAGTCAATTCTGGCATGTTTAAGATGTACGAAGCTGAGGTAATCTCTATTAATTTGTGTAATGGCTTTCTTGCATTTTTTTATTTTTTGAGCTGGGAAATATACTAACTGACCAAGAAATCTGGTAGATGGCTGGAAATCTCATGAGATGGCTAGATGATGTTGAAGACAGCCCTCATTTCCAGTGCCAGTTCTGGAAGCGTCATGATGTGATTTTCTGTAAATCGCCAAAGCTGAGATTGACTATGTATTTTCGTTCTATGATTTCGCAATTTGATTTTCAGGTCCTCAAAAAATTTCCAGTCGTGCAACACTTTCAGTTTGGATCTTTGTTTTCAATAGAACCGATGAAAGAAATGAACGATCCAAACTTAATTGATGCGGATAATGGTAATGTTATCACAGGATCTCCAACTTCTAAATGTTAAAGAATGCCCAGTATTTAAGAAATTGATAACTGTATTGCTGTACTGAAATTATAATTTTATTCAACTGTATGTTTTTGCAAAACATTACTAATATTGTTGAAATTTTACCACCACAAAAACTGTCCACCGTTAGTGAAGAGAGGATATTATCATAAAGATGATACATTCTTATGATGTATATCCATTTCTTACTTATCTTAGGTCACCTTCACTTCCTAGCTTTTCATTGCAATGATTTTATGCTTTAATTTATTTTTTAACCATCAGAGAATGATAATTCTTCTTATAGTTGCGTATCCTGTATTTTTGTATTTACGATAAAGTAGTGCATAATTCTTGGATAATGCAAGTGAATTTTCCATTTGCTGCTTATCATTATATGTTTACTGCTTACTTTTCGAATAATATTAGTCGATTCCATATAGACCTTGGATTAATTGATTATGTGTGGTAAAGCAGGCGTAAAATTCAGCCGTCACGTTCGATTATATCTAAAAAGGATCCGCAATGCCAACGGTCGAAGAGTTCCATTTAATCCATTTATTGGATTAAATGGATAATTTTTTGGATTAAATTTGGATAATTGGATCAACTATTTATTGGTTGATTTTTCGCTCTCTAACACGCATTTCAATATTCCGAGCAAACTACAAATGGCTCAATTTGCAATTAAAGAGAAAGCGAAAATTATTGAAATAGTAGATCGGTGGTCAGGATTTCACATATCACATCGAAAAAATAAGTCACCGTTGAAGTTTTCTTTCGAGGTTTACTACAAAAAATAAAATTGCAAATTGTTTTGAACACTGTGTCAGTGTTCATATTTTGCGAATGTTCATAACATATCCTAATTTAGTTGTCATTGTCTCTCTCAGGAGATAGTTTTCATATTTCTTCTCAAAAATATTTGTTTATCAATAAAGAAATTGAATTTTGTAAGCATACTTTAGGATGATTCCAGGGACTTTCTCGTCCGTTATCCTATATGTTGTATTTCTAACAGAAAAAACAATGGCTTCTAAGTTTCCTTATTTTACAAATATGGCGATATCAGAATAACGAAAAACTTGATAATTTTTTGCGTAGGAGATTTGCTGTATTATTCAGTGCTAACTTTATGTTTCGTTTTCTAAAAGAATAGTGTAAAGTTACAGAGATGACGCTGCAAATCTAAGAATATTTCGTCCATTCTTTGAAGTAAGCGTATTTGAAAGGGGGTAATTGCAGAATTGTACTGTTGTTAAATTATGGCCGAGAGCTTGAATCATAAAGGAATTTGGAATTTATGACTTAAATTGAGTGACAGTCACTTTATTAGTGCAACATCTGAATAAGCAGTTGAAAATCGGTGAGCTTTAGCTATTAAGTTTTGGCTGATTCAGAGTACGGTAAAATTCAGTAGAAATTTATTGGAAAAATGACTTAAATTTAATTTTATTCGCCAAGCATATTCTCAGGTTCCCGTTTAATAGAACGAAATCTTGGTCTTGTACTAATTTTACTATCTGCATGCGCGTGAAGTGTTAGTAGGCCGAATAACGAATAACAAATAATGACCAATTAAATTCTGACAAGATACTTTCAGCTCAAGACATTTTTGTTTTTGGAAAATTTGATTATTCGGTTTGTGAGAGATGATCAACTTTTATCACTTTTGATTTCATTATCTAGAAATTTCATATTTGTTTATTTTTATTGTTTCCATCCTGCTTCATGCTACTCCATTAATGCGTTTCAGTAATTATGCAAAGGTGATGGTATTTTCGAGGGTAAAAATAATTTTTAAAATGATGCAAATTATCATTGCGAGGCATTATTGTTCCTAAAAACTACGAAAGTCGGTTGATTCATTTTGCTTCTTTTTATTTCAAAAAGAATTCCATTCAGATACTTGTATGTTATATGCGGATAGCAGCAATTGATCAGTGGGTTATAATGTCTCAGGAGATTCTATGTCTCGAAAGCCTAGAGGGAACTGCGGCATAAACGATGGATAAGTATAAAAATGAACCAAAAATTAGCTTAGCTAAAGATCATTCAAATGGGGAATACTTCTTGAGAGTTCCGGACTATTCTCCATCATCATTCTATATATTGATTGAATTAATGATCTACGTTTATGAGAAAAATATTACATAATCCGTCAAAGATACAATTTTATCGTCAAAGGCTTCACTTTACATGATTGAAGATTTCAGAGCAAGAGGATAAGTTTTATTTAAAAATCCAGTTAATAGTTTTATATACTTTTCTTCGATGACTGATAGTAGTGCGTCGGAAATTCGAGTTATACCACACGAAGAATCCATCGAGGCCGGTGACCAAACGATGACCGAAATTTCTGCAAAATCAGTAAGATCTATGTTATACGAGTACTATCATATAGTTAAGAATTCGGCTTTATTTTTTTTTACAGTGCACATAGTTCTTCTCATCTTAAATTTTGACCAAACTTTTTGTCGAATTTTTCATAATTTTCAGATTTAGTTCCTTAGGAATGGAAAATGGCTCATTTAATAAAGATAAAAAAGTGAAACTGGTTATAGAGATGAAATCTGCAAAATACCCGTTTTCCTGTTAAGTAATGAGAGATTAGATTACAAGCAATAGATGATTTACTTTAGATCGTTTAAAATGGCGTTTCTCTATCGATCAATATCCCGAAGTTCGATAATATCCGTTAATGATCTCATTCTTCTTCCTTTCTACCTTTTCGTCTCCAACTTTTAACGCTTCAATATGATCTTCTCTATGCTTATTTTGTTCTTTAATAGCAAATTCTTAGTGACAGGAACGTCCAGTAGATCTTCATGGGTAGCATTAATAATGTTTTTATTCTTTTAGGTAAGAGGGAAATCGGAAACTGTACGAATTACTAATGAAAGCTTTGAAGATGACCCGGCAGAGGTGGGTGAAATGGAAATGAGCAAAATCAACAATGATATGGTTAAAAAATTGCTCATGTGTGATAAAAAAGGGCAGAAAAATGATGATGATAAAGCTGAAGGTCCGGATATCAACTAGCTTCTACCGTCAAATTCAAAAGCTAACGACATCATTGGAAGAAAACTCGCTTTACTTTTTAATTTTCACTTTATTTAACAAAATTGGATAAATTAAAGAAAAGTTTAATTAATTTTGCGGTTGTCAGATAGTTTACCGAAAACGCCGAAAGAGCTTGAGGAGGCGGAACTGCTACGAGAGATTGCTAAAAGGCCTTTGGAATCATTTAAAAATATGAAAGATGTACCGGATGCTATTGCAAAAACTTATTATAAAGTGAAGGGGTTTATCATTTGAATCAATTTTTTTATTAGAAGTTGTAAATTTCGTAAACTTTTCAAAGAGGTAAATAATATGAATTGATTTTTAATTAATGTTATTTCTGGTACCCCCACCTAAAGGCTTGAATAATACAGGATATTACTCGTCGCTGGAAGGAATCAGAAGTACGCATCAAAGAAACTGAAGATTTGCTTTCGCATGTGCAATATGACGATCGTTCCTTGGAGGAAGATCGCCTAGAGATTCTTGGTGAATTGCTGGATAAGGCAACTCAGTCATTCGAAATTTTTGAAGAGCACGAAGTGGGCCGTGTTTCAGAAGAATTTTAACCATGCCACCGTTAAGAATACTTTTAATAAATAATTGCTGATCAGACTGATCAGATTTTGCTTCCATGAAAGTAGGAGAAAAGGGAGAATTAAATAGATTACTCAGTTTAAATTAAACTTCCAGCGAAAATTCCATTTTTGAAACGAAATCATTCAGAAAACGCCAATGACATATGCATCTCATGGGTTGAATTTTCAACCAATTCAAATGCTGCAAAAATAGCTAAAGATATTGCAGAACCGCAAAGTGCCATACGGTCATCGAGTTGTACTGGAGGCAAGACTGCTGATGGTTTTTAATAATGCTGTCAATCTTATTTATAAAATTATTGGTGAATTTGATAAACTGAAAGGGGACCAGGTTGGTGTGAATGATGAAAGAGACGTAAGTTTTTTATTTGGAATATAATAACCTCTGTGGAAAAATAAATTGAATTACATCATCGAGATTTAATAAACATATTTCTTGGATACAGTTTTACCGGGTACGGTAACCATTGCATTAAGTCTCTGAAATTAAAGAGTAACTGTGTTAAACCGTTCCGTCGGCATGAAAGTCTTAAATTAAAAATACATACTGTGCTTTTAACAAATAGTTTTACATGGAGCTGATGTGCTTTTTCAGCAACTTCGTTATGAAATCCGTTACTGTGATGCAGTTTACACTGAGGTGCACGAACGTTTCCTGAAATCCTATTTGGAAATGGAGTGGTGAAATAATTGATGCGAAATCACCGTATTAAAGTAAGATTTAGAATTAAAAGAAATTCTCTTCCAAACGATGATCAAAATCCCGAAGCGCCACATATAGAAAATACCTCCCGAGAACAAAGCTCGTGCTATCCACTATATTAATAAAATTTCTGTTTATTTCGCGTTGCAATTTTGAAAGAAAATTATTATTTTATCCACAATTCGAAAAAAGAATAGCAAAGTTTGACTAATCTCCAAAGCGATGGATATTGTAGTCGACGTTCATGAACTCCTTTCTACATGAACTCCAAAAAACTTCAAAAATGTCCAACCTAAAGAAGCAAATGACCAGGAAGATATGATAGGAAATGATTCGTTTGCCAACGAAATATATTTCATTGATAAGGTTGAAATGGGCATCAGTAGCGACATCAGAAAATTAATCATTTACGTCTTGCATATATTCACTTCTGATAATTTGATTTAAATTTTAAAATCCATTGATTTTGATGATATGTTTAATGAAATGTCAATTCGTTTCAAAGATTTTTACTCAGCTTCCATCTACATCAAGTAGAGATAAAAGTTTTCTGAAGTTTTTTTAAAGTTTCAAAAATGTAATTTAGTTAATCAGTTGTCGGTCGGTCGGTACATGTAAGGTATTTATTTACAGAAAAAACCGCGCGGAAGTATTTGCTGAACTGTTTAATTAACGAATTGAACTAAATTTAATGATGAAATCTTCTACTTTTTATTATTAAACTGCAGAGATTTTCAAGCATGTAAATGTTCCATTATAATCAAAAAACATGAAATGACACAAAAAATCATCAAAAATATTTCAGCAATTTATAATGTTTGAAGTAAACTAAGCGTGTGGCGAATTCTTTTACAGCTCACGGATGAGAGAGATTAATGTGATAACGTGTCGGTATGATTCACGATTAAGTGACAGAATATAGGTGGAGAAACGATATGAGAATAAAAGAGATACATAATCGATGTTATTATCAAAATTAGTCACCAATTTAAAATGAAAGTAAAACTAAAACACTGTTTATTAATGACTTCAAAAGGCATGCTATATTAATCGAAAGTAAAGGCGGTAAATGTAAAAGCCAAACTTATGGCTTTTACCGCCTTTATAATAAACTTATGAGAACTGAATGATCTCTGAACATAGTATTGTGAGACAAACCGAAATCACCGCATGAAAATTTCCACAACGTAGAAATGACAGAGATATCCATTATTATTCAATATAATTGCGATCACATCATTTAAGAGATTAAATTCTTTCCATATTTGTTCAGCTTAAAATTTTTTAAATAAATTACTTAACATGTATTATTATCCATAAACAAATAAAGGTGGAAATGTGGGAAGATGGGAAAATCCTTGATATAGATGATAAATTTTATTTGTCTATTTTTTTCAATCTTAACATGAAATTCAGTTTTGGAAGGACATATCAGGTGGAATGTCCGATTTGATTTACTAGATAAAATAGATACACGGCGTATCTGAAATACGTCTTAGAATTTTAGCAGTCAGTTGAAAGATGAGAAATGCACTTCTTATTGACCTTTGTCCGGTGACAGTATGATTGCAAAGAATTTTTATCTGATTTCCTGATGTATTAAAAAAAGAACTTTTTAATACGAGAATAATAAATCGAAACTCATTGCTTATATTAATTTTTAATGCTCAATGATTACTTTTGCGGCTTCTGTTCTTTAAAAACTTGAAAACCGGCAAAGTATGTCGTGCAGTATATTACAATTGATATTGCTGAAACCGATTGCAATTATTACATACATCCGAATTGATCGAATTGCAATAGAGAACAAGATACGGAGAGGTTGAAAAGCAAAATGACAGAACGTAAGGGTGCCATCTTTCAGTATTTGATCAATCTGGAAGTATGGTTGCTGATCTACAGAATTAAATAATTTGTTAAAATTTCAAAAATTGAAAAATTTAATAATGATGGAAATATATGTGCACTTTTTATTGTTCCTGGAGATAATTCGTTGTTTAATAAAGGGTGAAAAAATAGTTCCGAAAAACCAAAAAAGTAGAAGATAGGAAGAGGTGGAAGAAAAAGTTGAAGGCTTCGATAACGATGTCAAGTCCTAGAAAATATGCCAGTAGTAATATATTCAACTCTAAGTAATAATATGCCAGTTTGTATTCAACCCTAGGAAAAATTAGTATTTGAAGACATTGGAAGATATCGTAACAAATATGTAGACAGCTGATCTGTTTCGTTTGTCCCTTTCGTTTCAGAAATCAATGTTTACTAAAAGATTAATTTCATTTTTATTTTTGGGAAAGATATGGAACAAAGTGAACTTTTCCTTCTCTCTTCTATTTAACTCATCTAAACCGTCCTCATAATTAAAAACTTAATGATACCAGCTGCAGCAAAAACAATTGGCTGGTACTTCCTCCTCCCTTATCCAGGCATGTATCATGCAGTAATTTTGTATTTAATGAATAATAGTACGATCCAATTACTGATTACTGATTTGATAATGATTGACTTTACGCAAAAACGTATCTTTACACCACGTTTTATTTTTTTTCGAAAAAAGCTTCTGCTAAATGAAGAAGTCAGTTGTAGCATATCTCATTCCTTGCTATCATTCACTCCTTAACTGATAACCATGAGCAAATAATTTTTGCTCTTTTTATTCATCGCCTTGCTTTACCTTGCCTCCTCTCGCCTCACGTCTGTGTTGATTGATTTTAGTTTCTAGGCGTTGAAAATCGTTTATAATTTATGAAGTGCTACATACATCAAATGACAACTCCTTCGGAATAGTTTGTAATTAATGGATGGCATCGAATAGCTCACGTCCATTTTCATTTCAAAAGAAAAGAAATACATTCTATTAATTTTAAGTTTACAAATAAATTTAATGCTTCTTCTTAACAGCGAATTAGTTACTAAGCGTCCATGAATAGTCGATTAAGGTGAAAAATAGCTTAGAAAGAATTAGATAGAAGTAACAATTGCTACACTTTCACGTTTGTTTGCTGATTTCTCTACGTTATCAAGTAGGATTCATTCCTACTTGATCTATTTGTTTCATTTGATGTCGTTGAGACATTAGCGCATTCTTCTTCTTAGACACACTGCTTATTCTTTTTTAGTGCTAAATCAAATGATCATGTTCCTTTTCTCAGATATGCTCGTTAACTCGATTCCGAACTATTTTCTTCTATGATTTTGTTGGTAACCCACATATCGCATATAATAACGTGATAACTTGAATTTGTAACTATCAATATCTCTCGATTCATCATTATTTGTGTCACAATCGTTTTCTATTTCATCTGACTTCACTATTAAAACAGTTACTATCTAAAAAATCATGCAAAAGAGATAGGCGTTCAGGATACATACAGTCGGAATAAAAAGGAATGAGTACAAAATTTCCGTTATAAGGCTTCCACATAGGCCTTTCAGTCTGCAATTAATTAGTCAACTGATTTTAACAAAACTTTCTTCCATTTTTACTTTTACAGTAGTAATTTAATGAAAGTATATCTCATTGAAAGAAATAAGAAATGATTACTTTCTTTCCTTCTTCATCCATCCTCTTCGTATTCTATTTTATTTATAATAGTCTTTTAAGATAAATAGTTTGCATTTCTGATTTTTGCTGAAACGTTTTCTTGAAATCAGCCGGATAGCTAACTCTGTTTGCACGAGAAAGCCAATAAACGAAATAATGCTAAGGCAAGTTTTACCGAAATGATTAAATTTTAGTAAGGAAATTTGAATATTTCAAATAAGTTTTCTGAGTGAATGATATTTATATTTGAGGAATCGCATGTCAAGTCTGTTGGTAGCAAAGTTGATTAACAAATAGCGCTGCTAAATATTTAGAAATTATAAGGGTCAAGAATTCGAGACTAACTACGAATTTCTCACTTTTTATGCGACAAATATCCACTTGAAGTTGGGCTTGTTGAAATTATTCTTCGGGAAAATTAAATGTTTCCTAATCCCTCTTCCTTTCCTCACACACTCCTATTACCACTTTATTTCATCATCCTTCTACGACTGAATGAAAAAAGCTTTCCCTGTGGGAATTTCATACCTCTTCTCCACCGCCTCTCCCCGACTTCCTTGTCTATTTACATTAACAGAGATATACAACAATTCTCCTGAAAACAACGATTAAACCTTCTAATAAAAAAACTGAAACGAACGTTTTTTTTCCCATTAAAATGCTTGGATAACGAAGAAAAGCTTTCTGTGTGAGAATTTATTTCCATGAAAAGCACATTTTATTTTTTCGTTTCCACCGAATGATTGGTTGGAGAAAGAAATGAAACTATTTTTCAAGTTGAAAGTTGGAACTGATCAGGAATGGCTTTCGTTCCCAGAACATTCAACCAATTGCGTATTATACCCGGTATTTTAAATTTAAAGTTACACATATATTAGTTAAACTGTTAGATACTGTATGAGTATGTGAAGTATTCCTGATATCTTTTAGATCATTTATTAAATTTTGCGTATTGTTTTCCTTTCCCATTACTTTTTTTTCACTTTCAATCTTCATTTTTTCTTCAACTAATACATTATTGGCCAACTTGATAGAAGAAAGAACCGGTTTAATGACTGACCGTAATCTGCTTCCGTTTTTCTCCAACAATCTTCCTTTCGTTTTATTATTGCTACTTCGAGAAATAAAATTGAATGCGCTCAATAATAAATAATGAATAAGCTCTTTTAATTAATGAAGAATCTGTCTCGATTCTGTCAATCTTTCAATTCTTGACATGGACATTGTCCACAATTGTTACTTCAAGTTACATTTGTTCTGTCCCAAAAATGTTGAAAAAATCAAAAGGAAAAAATCTTAAAAATATTGTGGCATATGACTGTCAAGACATGAAGAATGGATAGATTTTCATCAGATGATTCTGTTACAATAAAAAAAGTTGACATTGAAATATGGATATCTTTAAGCTGTAAAATAGTAAAAATTTTATGGTAGGCTATTTAACAATCTGATTTGAATTTTCAAAAATTTGTTTTGCATTTGTTATTTTGGTTTGTTAGGAAGACTCTATTCAAATGTATTCCATCAAATATTTTCCACTCTTTTTTAGTAGCTGCCATCATTACTTTCGGTCCTTCTACGTATACATATACGACAATATTGTAGGAAAGCCGAATCGCTTGATCTAACCGATCAAACATATGACAATTGTACCTTTTCTGCTAGTTATTGTCAGTCAGTTCGATGCAAACACAACTGATGAAAAAAATCATATCACATGTGCTGCCTTCCTTTTTCATTAATTTTTATTCATAACTCAAGAATTGACCCAAATGAAGAAGAACAGCTGAACAGTTAAACAGTTGAACAATTGCTATATTATAATTTTAAAAAAAGAACAATGATGAACAATGAAAGTATCATACTTCAAATTAGTAGAGTCAACAGGAATTTCGAATCAATCTTGCCCTTCAATCGCTTCGAGTATTTCATTTTCAGAAATGTTTTTCTTTAGTATTCCTTAGAAAATTGTTCTATTCCAAAGCATTATCAATTGACTACATAAGCCAATTCATGTTTAATTGATTACTATGGTCCATCATTTTCTGCATTGTTCAAATCTGCCGTCTGGATGATCGAAATTATTCCTTCACATTTCAAAGATATCTGTATTGTTTTTAAAGTATGGTTAATAAGTTTAATATGAAATATTTAAAATAATGTTTGAAAATTTCTGCACTATTTACAACGTGTATGCAAATAATTCCTCTTCAATTGCAATTGTATGGATCAATCTATGATAGATAAACTTTTAATAATCGAGAAAATAAGATAAGAGGAAATAAGAGATTGTAAAAAGGATGGATAGAGTTGATTTAAAAATTAAGAGGAAATTTCTAGTTATTACTTCCTTAAAAAAGATTTGAAATGTTTCCAAATTCATTAGCATTGATTTCTCTCATATTGCTATTATATAATACATTCTAAATGAACTCCCATAAGCACAAGCATATTCATTTGTAACAAGAAACTTTTTCAAGTTAAGAATGACTGACTTCATGTCACTCCTATTTCTTTCTCTTTTTTGTCTCATTAATGTAGTTCTCCTAGAATTTACTCTCTATGGCTAAACTAATGATCTGGAATCATTTTATAGCTCCATATATTCAACATTTTCAAATTTCATTAAAATCTACGCATAAGTTCAAAACTTGATTGGAAATAGAATACTGAGGAAAGTTTTATAAAGCATTCTCCAGAGGACATATAATACTTTCCTGTTTCTCTTCTGTGACAGTGAATAATTATATCACGTCAAGGATACAATTAAGTCACTTGAATCAAATGAATTTCAGATCAAATGAATTTTGCGCACACACAAATATCTACCTTTATGCATTAGTATTTAAAGATGTCTGAGATCTTTTTCTACCTTTATGTATTTAAAGAGTTTTATTGTCAAATTATACGTAATTCATGAAAGTCGTATGATAAGAATTCGAATGTTATGCTAAAGTAAATAAATGAGTAAATTAAAATTTGTGCCATAAAATGACAAAGTTAAAATTTAGTGAATTAAACTGTTATGTTGAAATCTTTTGAAAGTGGAGAAATATGCTGTATATTAAAATTAATCCCCTAAATTCATTTACGATTATTTTTTGAGCAAACAAAATTAAATGGAACAGAAAGAAGTTTTGAAATGATCGTGGAAGACTGCCAATAAGCGTTGAAGCAAGTTCTTCAACGAATGATTAATTTATGATATCAATAACCGGAAATCGATTAATGTCGCGACAGTCGCTGATGTATCATAACGAACACATGAATAATATTAATTATAGCAGTGCTTCCGCTTTTCCGAACAGCTATCGAGTATATGTGAACTTTGTTTTTTCCTGCTGCCCTTTATACTGCAAATTTTGGAACGCCTTTATTCATTCATTCATTTTAAAATAAACATCAATTTTAGAAAAAGGACGAAAAATGTAGTGAACAAACTAATTTAATACTAATACCAATTATGGATCAGTTTAAAGATATATCAATGCATCGAACTCCAAAATTTTAGCTCATCACTAATCATTATCAATTAAATTTATCATTTATATATTATTCGTTAAATCTTGAAAAATTTTATCTCTTCGTTAACTTCCCAAGCTCAAAAGAGAAATCAATGGGAAATAGTTATTTAACTGTATGGTAAGTGTTCAGATTCCTTACTGATAATTAATTCTTGATACAAGTCTCGACTAAGAAGTTTCGTATTGCTATAATTTTCACAGTTAATTTATAATTAAATTGTGAGAACAGACAAGCACAACAAATAAAATTAAATTGCAGAACCGCAAAGTACTTCTTGTTAACCTTGCCATTATTAGCTGAAATATTTATAAGTTTTCCTGTCCACTAATTGCCATGTTGAAATGCTTGGTTTACCTCATTATGCATATTGGTAGTGATCAGAAATAATTGAGCGAGCTCTTTGTGTTAAATTATTTCTGTATGTTACGTTATTATCAGAATTACGATTGTTTTTTACAAAGCTAATAGACAAAATTTTCCAGCGTTGAAATCGCTCGATAGTCTTGATTTAATTATCTTGATTGACAACAGACAAGGAGAGAATTTGTCGCAAATAATTTCCGGACAGTGACGACAAATAATGCATTCCGGGGGTGCTAAATACGACCAAGGTTATTATAATATTCGACGAAATCAAGTTCAATCTTACCGGCCCATACTAACGATTGATCCAGTACAACAGTTACCACTTAGAATTGGTGCACATATTCTCCGCCAACTCTCACTTAAACAACGAACGAGGTAAGTAGTCACTGCTAAGATAAATGTTTTCTGCATTATTCAGCTGCCAACTCAGTGTGCTTCACACACGATTACAATAAATAAGGCATGACGCAATTCTCTTCTTATCTATTTCTCTCCCATTGATTTTTAGATTATCTTTAGCTTATTGATAGCATGGAATTAAGTAGAATAAAAATTAGCACAATCATTGCTATCATTATCCATGGCGGGCTACCTGCTCAGTTTATACCTTAGTTCGGCTATCTTTCCTCTTCCTCCTCTTCTCTTTCCAGGAAGCTCCATGCTATTTCATACACAATAACCAACCAAGCTCTTTCCGCCACAGCCTATCGCTGCTACTCCTACCGCAGCTCACACCGCACGTAACAGTGAATTTTTATAGACTTCTACTCTGCTCCATTCTCAATACTTCGCATACACACACACACACACACACACACACAGACACAGACAAACTACTTACATAAACAAACATACATACGAAAATATGTTTACGAATGAAGAATATTAACATTGTGGATGGGACATGAACACTTCACTTAATTTCTCCTTTCACTTCATATATAGATGTGGACAGAGTGAGGGATGAGAATATTGTTGTTGTTGTTGTTGTTGTTTTGATTTCCTGTGAGATCGGACAATTTCCGCCTGAGCTGCATTCTTTGTTTTCTCCTTCTCATCTCCCTCCTCGTCCTCTGACGATTTATGGGACTTCTGGGATCTTAACCAGATTTCGCCGTTATTCAATCACATATATGTACTCATTTTATTTGCGATATATTCTCCATGATTACCATCCATCCTTTCCTTGATGAGAGTGGAAATTACTTGACCATTGTGTGTCAATCTTTTCTTCTACAATGCTTATCACTCCTCATTGCACGAAGAATAGATTCATTTCATTTCCACTACTATTCAATTCACTCCGTCTAAGTCTTGTTATAATGAGCCAGTACTCTAACCATTAGCTCAACTTCCTATTTGATTAAAGTTGACAGAGCTTTATTCTCGATAATAAATAAAAGATAAGAGAGTGATGGTATTTACAAGTTTGATATCTGTTTTATTTCCCACTTCCCTGTGATTTCTTCACTTCATTTTCATGTTATGCTTATTAGAATAGAAAGTATTCATTTGCCTGATAGTTAAGATGATAAGCACAATGAGCCCTAACCTACTGCTAAAAATAGACAAAAAACAAGACTTCTTCGTGGTTGGGTAGGAAGGAAATCAATCAAAAGTAAGCCAACTATATTCATCGTCGTATCACTCATCCCTGCATTTCAGTCATTTTGATTAGTTCTGTAATGTACATCTAATCACTAAAACTATAATTTATTACACTCCACCATCCATCTATCTCTGTGTATATTCATCTTTCCATCTGTATCTCTCCGTCTCGTCTGGTCTGGCCTGGTCTGTCTGGCCTGGCCTGATCTGGTTTGGCCTGGGATTGGACGGGACGGGATGGGTGGTTTGGAAGTTTGTTCCCGTGTGCTGTATCTTAATAAAAGATTACATCTACATGATTACATCTGCACCACGAGAATGGTACATTTCTTCCACAATTTTCTTTCTTATTCAAGAATCTTGTTACATAAGTGGGCCGTAGCTTCCTTCTCCCTTCGCTCTCCTGGTATCAATTCATTTACTTTCTAGTCATTCTGCTGAACTTTATATGCTACACAATTGGTTTAATTCTAGGTTGGAATTAGTGAGTCGAAGGTGGCGTGAGGTATCATTGATGGCATCACGGAGCGATGATCGACCTGTCTGGGTTTACATTATATTTCGAAAGAATCACTGCAGTGGACACGAAAAAATGACTGTTAATATGAGTTTCGATGGACCTATCTTTTGGAAACGACAAGTGGCTTATATTTATTGCTGTAGCTGCCATTTCCATGAGCATGAGGTTTTTTGATATATTTTGAACCAATAGAACTGATCTCTTTTGCTTTCATAGTTGATCAAATAATAAATAAGTTGTGAAGTGATTTACTTCCCAAATCTATCTTAGTTGCTTTGAAACTCAACAATTCTATTCAAGTACGTAATTATATTTGGTAGTTATTTTCAACTAAAGTTTACAATACTCAAACTTAAACTTAGGATTTGAAGCTCGCTATCACGCTCTGCGAATTTTACACACATATTTAAATCTGCAGCTAAATCGACTTCCATTTATAAAATAGGAGTTCATCCATATAATCTTGGAGGTTTCAATGGTTGAAAAGTTAAAACACCATAGTAAATGTTCCTGATGAAAAATTCAGGATTGCGAAGAGGACACTGTCATATTTGACTGACCCAGTCGGAAAAAGTAGATAAGGTAAATCACAAAATCAATCAGTTGTAAATCTCGCAGAATTTCATTTTCGTTCTTTTAATAGGTGCTAACATTAGGAGATTCAATAGAACGGGAAAAGTTGGATCTTAAAGTTGAAAGATCATTTCAACTTCTAGTGGCTTCAGATTCAAAGTAAAAGAATAAATCTGGTTTCACCTCTTAACGACTCATGAATCGTTTTGCCTAACTTTTAGACTCTCAGTGGAATCCTGCTTACTCTTCCCAATTTCTTAATGTTTCTTACACTTTTTATTTTATTTGCTCACATTCCCCTTAGCATCCTTGTAGATATCTGTTTCCGAATAAAACATTCCAGAAATTAAGGGTAGAAACTATTTAGATGCATTGCTATCGTTTAACGGACTTAAAGCTCCAAGATTTCAAGTTTTGCCTTCATGCAAATTTAATTTTAACATAGTTTCGAGAGGTGATTTGGTTCTTATCCGATTTTGAATGAATTTTTATAGTTATTTAAATTATAGAGAGATACAAGAAGGTATACTACAAGACTTGTACGCATAGATTTGTGGCTTCAAATTTATAAAAAGCATATATAATAAATAGAAGACAGGATATATATATATATATATGATCAATTGTAGATGCACTAGAGCTCTTATCATTCAGGCAAGAGCTTGCTTTGCAGGGGCCTTTATTAGCATTGCTGAGGAAATTGGAGCATCGAGTGAGACGTGTATGTATTGTGGATACTCCCGTTGATTATGCTTTTCTGCCAGATAGCTTCTTTTCCTATATGGCAAGAAATATGCCTCGTCTTCAAGTCAGTCTTCAATACTTTGTTTTCTTCCATATTTGAAAAATATTTTATAAACACCTTGCTGTAATGTATAACTCTATTCTTCTTTCGAAAATTGAAAAAACATGAAATTACCCGAGATTGCCAAAATTTACATCTATTTTGAATGTTTGATGAAACTTGATCAGATTGATGCTACTTTCGAGCTCGAATGCAGAGTAAATGGACGGCTTCCAAATAATGTGATGATAACTCAGGTTCCTTCGAAGTACCTCAGTCTTCTTTAGGAATTATTATATTTATTCGGTCATATGCAGTTTAACGTGGATTTGTTTATCTCATTGTGACGATGGCTAACTTTATAAGCCACATTTAAAATCTATGAGTGTTAATTTAAAAGGAAGGAGGAAATATTCCTGTAATATTATGGAAATAATAAACTTCACCATTTGGTCAATCTCGAGATACTCAAGAATGTTTTGTCTAAAAGATAAAACCCTATACTACGAATCGATAGCGAAGTGCTCATTCTACTGTTTTAGTTTATATATTTGCGTGAAATTGATCTCGAAAAGATTAATCGCGGGACGATGGTTGAATTGGCTCAGCATCCTCAACTTAAAAAGCTTATCGTACATAGATGCCGAAATTATGAAGTAAGTCATGTTATTCGAGGTGTCCAATTTATTCAGGGTCATGCAAACTTCAATTCCCAGGGAATCTTTTCTATGTATCGCATCATATTGTGGTCGGAGAGGAATTTGTCTTCAAAAGTTTCAACCAAGCCCTGAAGTCATTGCAGTGCATGTAAGTAGTGAAAGACCTGATAAAGTCGGATAGTTATTGCAGGTTTTTGAAGATTTTCATAATCTACCTCAGTTATTGGTTGTTAAAGGAGATATTGTCGGCTTAAAAGTGAGTTCTTTTTAAATTATAATAAAGTAAGATTACATGCATTGGGAAGAAAAAGAGTACCATATGAACATGAGTGAAATGTTCAAAACATTTAGTGCGCTTCGCCAGATGTTCCATGCATCAAATTTTTTCAAACTCATTTAACATACGGTTAACAGTGCAAAAGAAAAGAATTAAAAGTTTTTTTAATTCAAAAATATCAAAAAATAAAAGATCTAAGTGATTTGGCAAAGTGTTTGTATCGGACTGCACATGTTATAAAAACATGATCAGTAATCTCAGCCTCCGATTTACTGCTATCCTTATATTACTATAGAGATATTGTGATTTTTGGAGCAGTGGAAAAACGAAGCGAAAAACGACTGAATTTATTAACGATAGACCTATAATACATTTCCTTCCTGAACACTTTAAATCTGAGGAATTCCAAGAATCCTACAATATCGATATGACTATCGATTTTAACAGACTTTTTGTAGGCAATGATTGGCGATTGTCCGGAACCTGATGAATTCGCAATGGAACCACAAAAATTAGATAGCAAGTTGGATGATACTGATTTATCGATCAGTTCTGAGCTGGCTGTATCATCCGAAGATGCCGTTACATCCTCGACTTCCTTGCAAAATTACTGCCATTCAAGATAATACGCAAAATATTGTTGCTATTAATTAATGTACAAAGAAAACTTTTGAAAGAAATATAAATATTCTCGGAAAGTTTTAAAATGGAATTCGCCACCGATTTGGGGAAGTAAACTTCCTACAAGTTTTATGGAGTAATAATAAAGGAAAGAATTCCGAATGAGAGGAAGATCAAAAGAGTCTATGTTATCAGGGTATCACTCTGTCCGTTCACTGTCCGAAACGAAGAAATCACTAGGAGGTATTGTATCAGTAAATAACATTAATTCCTGTCCATATTATCCTTTCAAAAGCTCGATTCATTGATTAGCCATATGCATGTAACATCAGATATTTGGTTATTCTGGCACCGAAAGCATTTCTATCCTAACCGACTTCTTTCCAGATCTTTTAAAAAGACCCTGTAAGTGAATTTCGGAAAGAGACTACCAGCAAATGAATTTTAGTCAGTTACGTCACACGTACGCATATACACATGATGATCACTCGATTTGAAAAATGATATTTCTATTTCTTTAAAATCCTTTTGTCAAAGTTGCCGGAAAATTATGTCTTAGGGCTTTCCGACTTTGCGAGTCTTTTTTTTGCAAATACATTTGGTCATACATTCGTGTCTATATTGACGAAACTATAACATCCCATGGGGCAGGTTGTTTCAAACGGTCGGATCCATGTCATATTTTTATTCAGAGACCCCTCCCCCTTTAACTGTCATGTACGGTGAAAAATCTTAAAGTTCGAACTTATTGCCATCTTACCAGGCAGTCTACTTCCCTTCATTCAAATAACTTATCATAAATTAGCCAGCCAAGATAAAGCTCGTATAACAAGGTTTGTCAGCGAAAACTTTCAGAGGAATAATAGCACTTCCGCCAGAAGAAAGCATTATCAGGAGAGTTCCATCCAGTCGGAGGGATAATAACGTTATTGTATCCTCTCGGAGAATACAAAAGTAATGCTGTCTTATAGATAATATTTGGAACAATAACTGCATTCTCTTGCTTAGTATAAACTAAGTTGTGACTTATGACCTATACCGCCTACTGATTCCGCGAACTCCTATCTTCTTACACTGCAGAATTGTATTATAAACGATGGAGCAAACAAAGAAGTAAGTACCCTTCGTACATACACACACTCATACACACACACACACACACACATACACAAACACAACATACAAACACATATAATACATAAGAGATATCCGCGGAGACAACGAAACAGAAACAGACACAAATACTTTACAAAGTGTTAGTGTCAATATATCTTCTGCGGACTCATGCCGGAACAAGCGGTACGCAGAGAGCCCGGATCGATCGTGGCGATGGTGGGTGGAGGAGTGGAGGATGGTGCTGTAGGTCGGCATTGGTACCGACCGGCAGGCATGCCATGATGACGACGCGCTCGGTCGGTCGGGTGCCGCTGTATTGAGATGACAGGGACGACCAACAGATTTTTTTTTCCTTCCTCACATTTGTGTGTATACATATATAAACTGTTTCATTCCATCGTAGTACCGCCATGAACAGCTTCCTGTCTTGAATTTTGGATTGACCCCAAAGGACTGCAGTGTAAAAAGTACGAAATAAACAGATGTATCGTCCCATGCCAGACCGTCTTTATGTATATATGTGTATATTAGAAGTAAACAACGCATTCATATATATATATATATATATTAGAGAACGTATTGCTTGCTATTTTGGGAATGGAATTTTTGCAAACGGATATAAATGGAGAGATTCTATAAGAAACAGCTGAAGTTTCGCAAAATTAGCTCGCTTGAGTAAAAAAATATATTTGCTTAATTGAAATTTATCAGATCAGTTTGATATGGAGTGCAAATTGCAAAGACATTATCACTTCTGGTAAATTAGCGTGATCGTTAAGTTTATGATTGATAAGAACATAGAACTCCTCCCGACAAAAAAAATTTTCTTAGCTTGATCTTCTTCTTTGTTGGTTGCTGTTCGGAACCGCTTGTTCATTAATTTTGCATATTTATCCAGCAATTCATTTGGCTAAATGAAAAGTTCATAAAAGCACATGTTTTGAATTTTTCAGGCATTCTGATGTATTAGATGGGTAATAGTTCAGTGATGTCATCAAAGGGTGGACCAGATTCTACATTCAACGACAATTTAATCAGAGAAGTACGTCTGAATCCAATAATCTATGATTTCTCCCACCCTCTATACGGTAATGCAATCAAGAAGCAGGAGACTTGGATTGAAATTGCTGCCAAACTTAATGAAAAGGGTTAGTTGGGAATAATGTTTTTCATTTATCAAAAATTTGCAATCCTTTTAATTTACAAAAAGAACCCAGTAAAAGCAGAGTTTTGGAATTGTTGCGATTTTTCAGTAGAAGCTGTGAAGACTCGTTGGCGTACTTTACGCGATAGATATACGAAGGAACGTCGACGTGTGATGACATGCGGTGTTGGATCATCCTTTTCTTATTATGCTGATCTCTGTTTTTTGGACAACTCCTGCAACGAGAACAGGTTTGACAGATGCCATTTCTTATCATCATTCTTTAACTCAAAAAGAATATCGTACTTTCTAAATATTTCTGCAACCCATGATGAGACGTTTAAGTAACTTTGCAAAAGATTCTTGTATTCTGACATTTCACTAAGTTTTCAAGTGAAGTGAGTGAAAAAATGTTTTGAATGTCTTTTTTTAATTACAATATTTCGTCAAGTTTAAAGCTTTAGTTATGAAGACTTGAAATCTTCAAACAATAATTCCACAAATATATTGTAATTCTATAAAATTGAGTTATATACTGAAGTAATGGGGTTAGAAATTTTTATTCAGGATTGCGCCATCAAAATCTATCAAAAGTAGCCGCAACAGCAATGATAAAAACAGCACAAATACTACATCCCATTGCGATGTTACGACATCTATGTTTGTGAAACCGGAAGTTTTTGAGCATTCGTCCGACACCAGTTACAGTTTCGATAACAGGTTTATTTTTCTCCTCCCTATAAACTTCGGGATAAGTTTTCTAATGGATACAACTAACATTTATGGGATTTAGTTGATTTTGTAAATGAGAAAATTAGTGCTCTTAACAGCACTAGGAGTTAGAAATCATATTGCTAGTTCAAAAAGGTGTTAAAATGAATTTGAGAAGGTACCATTCGATTTAGTGCTTTCACTTCATGAACGTCTCATATGTCTTATATGTTGCGAAAATATGAAATTATTTTTTAGCAGTTGCAAAGTCTATTTTTCGAAGAATCTTTTGTTCGTATATTACTTCGTACTTAGGTGGAAATATTTGTGATATAGTAACGTGTATAAAATTTCAAGCGTATTCCATTATTTTCTTGAATGTTCAGGACCGGTGATGACATGTTAATGGAACAAGAAGAAACAGTTCCTTCTTCATCTGGACCGGAGCATTCGGTACAAAAAAGGCAGAGGATTCGAAAAGCAATTCATAAATCTCCAACACCGCCAGTAAGCTCAGCAACAACAATGGCTGTAACAGAAATAGCAGAAATGGTGGCACTCGAAAAATCACCAGTAAAACGCTCTAGATTGGATCCTTCACCGGATTCACCATCAGACACGGTTGCACATGCGTTGATGCGTAGCGTGGAAGCATTGCAACGTTTAGCGGAACGGAAATCCGTCCTTGACCGAGCGGTCGGTCTCCGTGATGCCGACGAGTGTTTCGCCGATTTTGTTTGTATGTCACTGAAGTCAATTGACAATAGTAGTCGAGTGCATGCTCGAATTGCAATTCTCCATGCTTTGGCACAATTTCAGACATAAAGGATGATATCATATCCATGTGCTTTTGTAAAATAACTGAGTGGCATTTCGAAATATCACTGGACAGAATGCATGGATAAGATGAAGCGAAACAATGTTTTAGAAGTTCAGGATGCCAGGATTGGTGGCAGAAATGTTTTGTCGTTTGCAACAGGGATATTTGTCGTAGTTTTTGAAATATATGACTGAACGTTCACGCAAGTCATCGCAAATATCAGTGATTAAGCATTTTAGATATATGTGGTTCGACTTTACTGCCTAAATTGTTCGTTTTCAGTATTCTTTTTTCTTCTTCGTGGAATCATTAGGAACTGGACTCTTCGTATTTGCTTCCGGAATTTCAGTCCAAAACATCATATTTTAAAGACAAAGTATATTGTGTGCAGGACTTTGTTGTACGGCTGTTTGGTCCATTTTCGGATTATTTTATCTCTCCTTTCTATATCTAAATAAAGTTGATGAACTGTTTGTGGTGAAGATGTTTTCCGTGACTACCCTACAAAAAGATGTGAAAGTTTGGCCAAATAAGAGAGTTGGCTATAATTCCTAACAAAGTTCTATAATTGGAAGAGCTGAACTAATTTTTGCAATATGGTGAACCCCACTTAATTTTCCTCTATCCCAACAGGCCTCAAAAAATGCAACAGATCTTACGTCCCAATATGAGATAACACGGATAAATTGGCAGTGTATTGTGCACGACGAAAGTTTCTGGATTTTTCGATCGAAGAAGACCTACTATTAATAAGTCCCACTGGGATAATTTTTTGATGTATCTACGAATGCAATACATCTTTCAATACCGTTATATTTGATGGCTACTTAGGTGCAGCAACTGCCCATTTGCGTCCCTGTGTGACAAGGGCTAAGAATTGGGACAGATGGACTACGTAGAAATGCTGGACAGACATTTAATTCTTTTTGATAAGAGGGTAGACATGAAAAGAGTTGTTAGTTGGAAAAACAAGCTGTTTGCACATTTATTTATTTTTTACAGAATGACCAAACATATCTGTCATCTCAGAGTTTACTTATCTTTGTCATCAAAGTTTTATTGTGGTAGTAAGCAATAATACAATAAAGAGGAAGAAATGATGCAATATAATAGATGGGTTATCATTACCCTAGCACATAAAATGTCGAATATTGCCATCATTTTTTGAATATAATCTTTATGGAAATACTTGAAATTCTCACACTGAAATTATATTATTTTAAGTTTAAAATAAAATTAATGGAGAATGCAAAACAGGCTGCTAATTGTTGCAATGCATAAAATATTTACCCAGCAATATCATCAATGATTCAAAATCATATTTAGGATAGTTGGTGTAAGTAGGAGTTTCTATTTCGATCTAGTAGGATTGAGAGTTGGTTTGCTTGGCTATCATCTTAGAATCCTTATGTGAAGACATTGCAATGTGATTCCCAGATCTTCTCAAATTAAATACACCATCATTATTGCTACACTAGGAATACTACAAGAGCATTCTGCAGTTTCAGATTACCAAATTTTGAAATGTAAAATTTCAAATAAGATGAACAATATTGTACGAAGGGTTTCGCATTCTTCATTAATGCACACATTTCAATGCATGTCATATCTTTGATGAGTTCAGAATAATGCTTTAGTAAAGCTCGGTCTGGAATTATTTTTTTTACAATGGCAATTTCCTTCACAAGTGACGCAAACGAATTCTCCAGTACTGTTGGATTCATTCAAACTTTCATCGCTTCCCTTTGCTGATGATAATGATGATGTTTTTGCTGATAATGACAGTGATTGTGATAACGATTGATTGCTACTTGCACTTTCAGGCGACTCGAATAATGGTGGAATATTGTGCAGATGAAAAATTGGTGTTGAATATGATTGTCGTCCAAACTGGGATAAATTCATTTCTGCAGTATTTACCGATGAAGATTGATTTCCTTCTGGAATACTGTAGGATACCAATCGGGAATCTTGAAAGCTATTCGATGTCACTTCGATTTCAGTTGGATTATTAATTAATAAACACTAATTAACAATCAGTTTTTTTGTCCATAATAAAGAAGAGAATTTGAATTTCATTCAAATTTCTTGTGAAATTTTAATAGAACAGTGAATGACCTGGTAGAACCTACAGGGCCTACTGAACCTTGGCGGTTCAAATTAGAAATAGCCTAATCATCTGATAGATCAAAGAGTTGAATGGAACAAATTTCTTTATGTCTTTCATAAGTGATCATAGTGAATGAATTTAATGATTTTGCAAGATAAAAAAGAAATTGATTACGTTTGACATTGCTTCCATAAACAGATCGTAACCATTTCATTGATTTAAAAGACTGGTCAAATACTGACGCGAGTTCTGCATTGATCGAAGCAACCAGTGACGACGAAATAGAAGGATAGCACCAATTGTAAATAAATGACGTGGTGGCCTTCTGAGCTGCCTGAAATCCATCCTTGAATCCCATATATGACATCTTTTCTGAACCTGGAAATAAAACTGCTTCCATATTGATAAATTGCTCAATTAAATTTATGCCATGAGAAAAGCGATTCCAAAAGGTAATTTTTTGAAATTCTGACGAAATTCAAGTAGAATTTGAAACACTTATACTTCTGTAAAAAAAGAACAAAAAAGATTCAAATTAGTCTTTAAAAACAACGGCAAACTTCACAGGACTCCGCTGTGCCAATATAGCCATCTTGGCAAATCACTGGAGCGGTCGATGATACGGGGATCGATTGGTCGTAATTTAAAGTTGTGAAGAAAAAAGTGACATTGTTGTAAAATATTATTGAAAGCCATATAAACAAAACAAGACTTGGATTTCCTTTAATAACTATAAAGTTAAGATAAGTTCAATTGTAATTCGAGAGGTTACAGTGCTGGTTATTCGCGGCTTGAGAAATGATTACATGAATGGTATGTAAAAACAGAAGTGTGAAAATCTTTCCTAAAACTTCTTTAAAAATTTCCGAATTTTATGCAAATATTAATAGACAAATAAAATTAGAAAATCTAAAGTCTGAAGGTTAGAACCAAGTAGATTTCATTCAAACTTGATGCACAATGTCGTACTGGCCAAAATATAGTCCTGTAAATACTGCGATCATTTCTTTTGCATTTTATGTACCAAATTTTCGAAATTTCTAATTCAGTAGAAAATATGAAATTGATATTCAGAAAATTTAAATTTTAAATCTATCAAAACGCATATCTTCCGAAATCATCGCACAAGTATCTAAATTTATTTTGAAGCTCCAGAATATTTTCGCCTTTGTAACAGTAAAATTGTTTCCAAACACTGCCTCTACCTTTCTTTTGATCATTACTAACTGATTGAAGATATTTGATTGTTAAATCCAAAACTTCAATTTTTTCCAGCTTTGATCCGATTTTCGGTGATTTTATTAAATGGAACATTTTCAATTGATCCAAAGAAGCATTCATTCGAGCTCGTCGGCGGCGTTCGATTTCCGCTTTACTCTGTAAGAAAGACAAGAAAGTAAGAATGATTCAACAGTTATAATTCGATGTTAATTTTTTTAGAAGCACACAATTCATCTTGGAAGTTCGGGCCGGCTGTTATATTTTACTTCAGCCTCCTGATGAACCTTCTCGTTCCACCCGAAACCAAACAGACAAGCTTGTTTAATTCGGATAGAACAAATCGCGGAGTTCCTTCCTTTCAAATTACCATTTCTCCGGTAATTTAGACAAGCCAAACCTTAATAACATTTCACAACCTAATTGTTAATTAATTTTTAGATTTAAAATCAAAATTTTAGCAACTCAATTCTTTTTGAATTTCAAAATTTTCAACCTAAATTTTGCAATAATTAAGAGACCTAAAACAACTTCTAAACAGTTATTTTTCACTGCTTTGTATTTCAAGTGTCACAAAAGGAAAGATTTGAAAGAAGCTGTCGATTTGATTTGTTTCTGATAGCAGTTGATTCTGCCTACTAAATCAACAAATAATGAATTGAGTACAGCTGGAGTAGAGAATTAAATTTGATTTGAATAAAGTTTGAAATTAGGTATGGGACGGATTGTTGATCTTTTTCTATATTCTTTTACTGATTTTTGCAATTTTTTCAACTTATTTTTGCAGAAGTAATATAAAGTGAAATTTAACATTCGATTACTAAAATTTCCCGAAAGTCGATGGAGCTTGAATTTATGCTTGGATTTATTTGAAAAATTGATCATTTAATGGACAAGTTCGGGATCAGAAGTGTACCAGAATTCTGAAGCCATACTAAAGTATGCTTCCGAATAGTTAACAACTTCTGAACAAAAATTTGCTTCAAACAATGTCTAAAGCACTCCTATGCATTGCATTAGAAATTCAATTATTCCTCCCTTTCAAATTCGAATTACCTAGATTTAGATTATTGATGCTCATGCAACATCACTCTCAATTCGTTATGCCAACTAATCATAAAAAAGTACCGGGAAAGAATTAAAATCGCTCGAACTAGCAGCAGCCAATTCGTCTGATTTCATTGCACAGATTCTAAAATTTAAATATTATCTTGATTGCAGGATTCAAGTTCGCTTAAAATTGTAACCAAAAAATCGTCAATTAGTAGCAATTATATTGAATATATTTTACGGAACCCAAACTAAAAGAACTAATTCCCACTTAACTTTGTTAATTTCTAAGTAACTTAGCCATTTGATTACAAAGTGGTCCTTTAGCGAATGTGTTTATTATTTAACCTCGAAATAATAGTCGAATTAGTGTTAGCTAACAATATAATTTTGCATATTTGATTCTATCCGGCATTCATAAAATATCTCAGAAAACTTCCTTTAAAATCTTTTCCAATACGAAATTTCTTTGAGTTATCTTTTTTCAGATACAAGAAAAGTGATATAATTTAAACGAATCAAACATCTGAATATGAAGCAATAGTGATGACTCCTTTCACCGATTTAATATTTGGAAAAATAGAAAGGGAATCATAACTTCAATTCAATATTGGCAGCTTACATTTCATAAGATTGATGTCCTTCCAATATTATTGCAAAGATTATTCAGTAAATTGGATCTACTCAAATTAGAAAAAATAAAAACAAAGCAGGAGGAAAAGTGACAAACTGCATGAAAGTAATGATACAAAATTTCCTATCTGAAATGAATAGGATGGGTAGGTCGATTTAATGAAGATTTACTGGAGGGCGGTATGAGAAAATGACACATTCTGGGATGTCTCAAAGAGATTCAAAAGAAAGTGTTTCCCATGGTTTCATAGAAGTAACTTTAATGCATTATCCGATTCACATCCATTATAATTCCTTGAAACAATACCATGTTAACTCGTGATGATATTAGCATGAGAAACACGAGCTGGGTGAGAAAATGGAGATGATACATGTTGTGGGTAACATTTTGAAGAAGAGTCTTCAGTTATCATTGCATTTCTGAAAATGATTCTTGAGTAAACCGGTACAGATGCCGATTGTATTTGATTTTTTCTACCATTTAAGGATCTTTATCCGTATTACTTTTTAATTCTCAGTGTTGTTGCAGTTAGTTTGTTAAATCAATTAATTTTTCAATGAAAAAATTTTTCAATGAAAAATTAATTTTTGTTTTATTGTTTCACGTACAAAAGTTTCTTTCTTTGAAATTGTAGAAATTATAAGTGGAATTTTATATATTTTGATACAGCTTTTTATTTAATACATATTCTGATCGACTTTTTGAGGTTAGAGGTCAGCTTTGTAAGAACATTATCCATCTTAGTGTCTCACATACAGTCAAACAATTGCTGTGAGATTAAAAAAAAGAAACTCTCATGCGTTGATAAATTCCCCGAGACTGACAGTCATTTTAATCTGGCAGAAATGGATGATAATAACCCTAGAATTGTGACTAACCTTTAGTAAAAATCGTGAATGTATCCTGGATATTTTTTTAAATTTCATAAGAATAAAACTTGTTTGCCTTTTTTAACCTTCATTTTCAATACAAATTCTTAACAATGGATATTTAAAAATAATGGTTCAAGTATGAAATCAGTAAATATATCCATGTTACATATTATAATGAAGATGCTAATGCTAAATCTCATGAATTTTCATGAGATAAATAAATAACAAATAAAAATTAAAAGACATTTAATATGGCAGAAATGAGCAAGATAATAAAATAAACAAGAAACATAAATAAATAACAACAAATCAGTTGGAGAAAGAATGGGAAGTTGAGACTTCCCATTCTTTGAAGAAAGAAGTGATTGACAAACGACAACGATATTACTTGTTGTTATTGGCAGTTGCAGACCTGAGAGAGAAATTAAATAATTTATATTTGGAAGGTTTCAATCTAGACCTAAGCAAAGTAGCTCCCTACGATGTACATATATCACTCGTTCGGTTAAGTAATAATTCATTTCCAATACGTTATTGATTTGTCCAGTAGTAATTTCCAGTTCTAGATAAGTCTAATGTTTAAGTTAGGATATTTTGAAATAGACAAACTGATTAGGATAGTTGAGTATTTTACTATCTCTGAAGGGATAGTTCAAGTGAACAAAGAATTACATGAAGGAAGGACTTGCAATGCAAGTAACAATGATAGAACGATGGAAATAAGCAAATGATGCAAAAAACAATGGCGGTGCTGGTTGCAATATCATTGATATTGATAAAACGATAATATAATAAACAAAACTAAGCATGTTTAAGCGGTAGTATACATACATACATACACAAATAAATAAGCATTTCGAAATATTTTCTCGAATTTTGCAAAACACAATAGTTCAGCCTAAAGAAATAATCCGGTAGCAAAAAGACTTCAGCTTTTTGCGAGACCATTTGTAATCGTAGACATAAGTACCTATTAATATGAGTCGAAATTTTCCATCAATTTTTCAGTTAGGACAATTTCGGACAAAATTACATTTGTAATGGCCTTATTATCGAATTTTGTTAACATTTTCCACCATTAAACTTGCGTACAATATCGGTAACAGAAATAAAGCGATCCTCTTCTTCGCTTAGCCCAGTGCTTACCGTATCATCCGAAGGATAGAGCTGACTTCTAGATTCACTGGATGAGAATGATTCCTCGCGTGCAGATAATCTGGTTATGTGTTCCCAATGATGCAGTGGAATTGATTTCACGCTTTTTTCTTCTGTAACGTTGACGCAAAAGCTACGTTAAAGGCGTTACTTGTGAAACAAATGCCTCAATAAATCAAGGAGGTCAAAAATGAAGAAAGGCCTGAAAAGAGAATCTAATGTCTCGACGAGCATGGAGCTAAAATACCTTGTATGGGTAAACATTCCTTTACGGGAACTATCACTGCATAGTGTATCGGTTGCTGTTGTTCCCCATCGTCCTGTGATCCAGAAAGCAATCCGTCATCAACGAAATCTTCATCAAAATCATCGTCGAATTTTCGTGATATACTATCATAATGATCCGTATAATGCCCCGACGACTGCGAATAATTCACTGTATTGAATCGAACAAATGATGATAATCTTGAATTTAGTATTTTCAAATTAAAAGAAACGAAAAAATTGAAATTTATTTCCAAGTGTTGGAAAAAAGTTCTTGAATGATATTTCAACACTTTACCATCAATATTAGTAATTTTTTGGGCAAAGCAAGGAAACTGTTAATTTTAAATAAATCACTAATTAATATATTATTTAGAACCAAAAACTTCAGTCATTAAATATTAAGAGGTTAAGTATCAAATCAAATATTGAAAGTATGATTATCAAATATTAAAAAGTTACGTATTCTGTATACAGCACTATAAAAATATTAAATTTTCAGTAACGTGAAAAATCGCTATTTCCAAATATTTCTTTAAAATTTACACTACTGAGGTGTTGAAGTTGCCAGTTATCACAATATTGTGTGCCATATTGCAATACTGAATACCGGATTAAAGTACTTAAATATGAAATAGACTGTATGCACACCTCTTCCTTGTCGTATTAGGCATTTCATAGATGTCACTGCTACCGGTTATAATCATTTTAAGAGATGAGTTGGGCGGTTTTACCGGTAATGGTGGCGGTTGTTTCAAAGGAGATGACAAGATATTTATCGACGGTTTTACTTTGTCAAGAGTGCTCCTAAAAAAACCATTCCTGAGCTGATTCTTTTATCAAGATTTCAAAACGGATAATGCAGCAATATACCGAGGTGAAAATGACGGGGGTGGTGGTGGAGGTTGTGTCGGCCGCATTATCTTCTGCTTTCGTATGAGGCATTCCTTATCGTTGGATGGTGCAATTAATACTGTTACGCTGCTTGAATCCAGCTGTAAAAAAGCAGTTATTGAAGGGTTCTTTCAAGGCAATGTTCTATTATTAAAATGACAGGGTAAAATTCGTATATGCATTAATGTACCTTATAAGGTATTCCAATGAAATGGTGCTTGGGTGTCATAATATCGTTATCGGGATAATGTAATGATTGCGCGTAGTTACCGGCAGTGTGATGCCAAAAATGCCTACTTTTTGGACGGATTACTGATTTAAGCCTTGAAAGAAGTTGTAGAAGATTGCATACAACACAGCTATAGTTTGTTAATGAGCAGAAATATCGCCGAGCAACGCAGAAAACAATTGCTGTGACAATAAACACAATAGCTATCCAACCACAAATGTACTGAAATTGGTGCCTTGCAAGGATTATTTATAAAGTTTAATATATTCAATGTTCTTTTTAATTATAAAAATACAATTCGAATAAGGCATCAACTAACGCAACCATAAAACCTAGATACGACTATTTTCTGGGAAAAGGTTATAGAACGATGCAAAAACGATCATCTTTTTTTTCGAATTGTGGAAAGCAGCATAGCTTTTCACGTATTGTAACACATTCACATTTTAAAAATATTACTAAAAAATTTGGAAGAGATGATATAATCTGCTATACTTGAATAGAAATGGTTGACCTAATGAGATTTAAATAATATTTTTATTATTTACGAGTTCAATGCAAAACCAAGGCAATGACCTTACTCTTCCTTTCAATAAGCTTATCAGTAAACTTAGGATTGGCGTTAAATAAAGCTTCCCATAAATTCATTCACTCAAAGAGTATTTTCACATAGATCGATTCTAACTTACCAATTGCCAAGTTTTCACAATCTGCAGGCATTCATCGGCGCGGCAATTCCAATTGTGGCACAGTTTGTGCAAACCGCAATCGCATTCCTCCTTACCTTCGATAACGCCATTACCACAAAGTGGCAATGATTTTTCAACCCTATGCTGCGTAAAGAAGAAATTGGTAACCTTAACATGCCTCAGACAACGATTATTTTCCAACATATTCACCATCTGTTGTAACGTGCAATCATGATCGTAACCTCTGTATAAATTAACTTTTAAGTAAATATACTTGGAGGTTCTCTTATCTTACGATTGTCAAGAATGATTCTGGAATTAAACATTACTCAAACTGCTAGGGCAGACATTCCGTCGCATTTCAACTTGATATGAAATTATTGGAAAATTTGTTAAAATTTTCTGCAAATTTCTCGGTTTAGAAACGTACGGTATTTTAAGACATCCAGAAACAGTAACATTTCGAATCATCGGACAATAACAGTTAGGTATATCGATATAATTAGTTGCATTACGATGCGGTACGCCAAGAAGATGTGCTACTTCGTGGAAAAATATTCCGCCCATTGCAAATGGACTATGTGGATAAAACTGAAAATTAGCATTATCATTTTCTACTTAAATCAACTTCTGCACTTAATTCTCACCGTCTAAAAATGGGGATTTAAAAGTTAAAAGACGAAATTTTTTTTACCTGAAAATTTTAACAAAATCCAAGAAGACGATGAAACGTAAACATACCCCGCACAATAAAACGGCTTTTGAAGTACACATGCCATTAACAAATGCTAATCCACCGGCATAACGATATGAAATTAAGGCAGCAAAATCATGAGTCGGTAATTTTGATATTCTATGACAGGTAAACAATTTGAAATTTTTTAGTAAAATTAAGTGTGGCTTAAAGCTAGAAATTAAAAATGAAAAGCTATTCATTGCTGATCTCTAAGTTGTGGTTTACTTTCCAATTGAATTTGCAATTTTAAATTTAGCCTAGGAATCAGAGACAGGAGGAACTGAAGCATTTAAGAGTGCAGAAACAGGAAATTTGGGATAAATAAGACTGAAATAAAGATGATAAAGAAAATCAGTCAAAGGTGACTAACAATTTTCTCACAATATTTTCCTAAATGAGAGTGAAGTTAAGATAGGAAAATAAAAGATCGTTTATTCCTCATTCGCGGTGAAATTTATTTTGTATACTCCATAAATGGCACCACGCAGCTTCCGAAAGTGGCAAGCAAACTGAGATGAGAAGCTTCGATGCTCTCAGAGAAAATGAGTCAAAGCTAGATGAAGGTGAATGAAAGGAATTTTAGATTGTTGGCATTTGTAAGCATCACCTTGAAACATTTCCCGTGTTATTTAATACATCTTCATTAAGAGTTCTACTCTGATAAGCTAAGAGTTAAGTCCCAAAAATTGATATCAAACTAATATGTAATATCACTTAAAATAATATCACTTAAAATCAATATCACTTAAAATAATATCACTTAATATCACTTAAATATCACTTAAAATCTTTAAAGTTTTATCAACAACAATATTAATAAGGTAATAATGCATACCTTCGATTTCTGTATTCCTCAAAAGAATACAAGCTGAGATTATTACGATATGTTTGCAATATATCCACTACAATTATTCGAACATTTATTTGATAAAAATACTGCAACAAAAAACATAAATTTTTTTGAACCACTGTGTCACATCTTTTTGAAGACAGCAACATTTCTTTGACGATGGTAAAAAGTTAACAGAGAACTTACATTATTAGCTTCTTCAACCAATTTCATCACATCTCTCTTCATATTATCCATATTGAAGCCATAATGATTAGTCTGTAATCAACAAGTGTTTTAAGAAATCTTTTTAAATTCATTCTTAATCTAAGTGCTATAACAATAAGGACTAAATTTAGGCATGAACTTAGGAACAATCTTAGGAGGACATACAATCTTAGAATCAACGAAAATGAGAGCGTTGAGGAAATGTATATAATCATTCAGTTGAACGCCGCTGTAATCTGGTGCCGGCTCACCCCATACGGCTGGCTCACGACGTAATCGTCGTGATATATGAATTTCATCCTCATCCGTAACATTTGACTGAAAAAGGCGTTAGAAAAAAGTCACCAGTTATTGTAAATTTAATGGGATAAAAGCTAATCAGTAGAGTTGTCATTCAATCGAATATTTCAATCTGACTGATCGAAAATATCCCAGACTACCTTACTCAGGTAACTCTATTTTATTTCAATCTATACCAAACCCATAATACTTTATTTCTTTTGCTCATAAATACTACTTGTTACAGCAAAAGAATTGTCAATATTTGAGACCCACTGATATATGAAGATTGCTTTCTGCATGACCGCTCACTAATTGGAAAAGTTATCATTTTATATGCCAAATGAAGTTTTTTCATCCGCTTACCTCATATGTGGCATTAAAATTGATGACTAATTCGGATGAAGTTGAATGAAAAAATAAAACGATTAGAGGGGAAAGCAAAGATATGATCATTAACGTATCATTCATTAGTAATCGTATTCAGTAGAGTAATAATGGCAGATCGCAGTGATTGTTGTCGCATGAGGTGAATTGAAATCATGATTTGATAAGGAAGTGAATTAGCAAATATATATGATGTAATAATCATATCAAATCCTTAAATAAGAAAACTCATTTGAATCAGTCTGAAATTTTGCTAGTAATAAAAGACTTTTTTTAATTAGCAAAAAAATTTACTAGTCTTATTCGAAGTATTTCACTCAGTTAACTAAGCCGCAATGAATCAATTTGATGAAGGAAATGAGAATAACCTTTTAATATCATAAAAGGGCATATTCTTTTCAATAATATTTCTTATTTTCATCAATAATTATTACTAACATGAATTTTTAGTACCGTTAAATGTAAAAAAACACCTTAACTGTCACATATATTATCGTAGCAAACAAAAAAGAAATTTGCAGTTGCGTACATTATTTTTGAAATGATCTTTAGTGCCATCAGTTTAAGCTCATTTTGCGAATAAAACATCGAAACTCTACTTAATGACAAATTGAAGTGACAGCAATGTTTGCAAAGATTTCATATATTACATAATAGTGTACGTGAGATAAATATCCTCACGTGAAATACTTGCAAAGGCATTATCAAAAAGCTAATTGATGACTAAATTAAACATAAATTATCTTGTTTTTATTTATTTCAGAATATGTGTCCATCAACAGTCCTATCAGTCTTGGGTATAAAGATCCAATCTTAGGATCCTGGGAACTCGTTAGTGACTATACGTTTATGCGTCAAGAAATGAAATTATTAATTTACTTTTCATTCGGAAGCAATGAAAGCCAAATCAGTGAGCGAATATCGATAAAATTTAGTTTGACTAATAACAACGGTATGAAAAATTAACTGGGCAGTGGTAGCAATGGAACGGTAGCAGTAGATTTGGAAGCAATATGTATTATAATTATTCATTCCTGCCTGGCAGCATTACGAGCAGGAAGATTCCTCTTCCGGTATTATAGAATGATGAATGAAGCATCAGTGCTGTTCAGAATGGATAACATTAAAGCCTTCTAATTGTTGGATCTTGCATGATTCAATCAGGATTCTTCTGAAATTTCAAAAATTTTGCAATTATGACTGATTGAAATCGAAAGAGATATAGTGGCTACCGATGAATCCCAAAGTATTTCTCACTCTTACGCTTATCAATTCTGCAACACCAACGGCTTCACGTGAATTTTTCGATTTTAACTTATGAATGGTAATTGAACATCTAAAAAACAAACTTTTGGGTGCATATAAAATTCATATTCAAAGATGGGGTCAAATGGAAGCGTGGTTCAGTTCAAAGAGATGAATATGATAACCGCGGGTTAGAAGAAAGCGGGATTCAGTGAAAAAAGGAACCACTTCATTAAGAGTAATTGGTATATATATCATCGACGTTGTTAGGTACCATCTTTTCTTATTTGCTTATTTCTATTTTTCTTCCTTTTAAGAGTAAAGGCTTATTTAAATAAAAGGAAAAGTGTTAAAATGTATCGAATTTCTTTTTACAGCCACTTGCTCAAGCACAATTCAAAAGATGCGGCGTTATTTGTCATTTCGAATCGTACTAATAACAGTCTGAAACGATCAGTTACGAATTCTTCGCATATAGCATATAGCTTAGGTATAACAATTATAAAAGATATTTACAGCTAAGATGTGTTTCAACTTTGAAATATTATTTGAGTGTTTCAATTGGAAATAATACATTAGTAGTGAACCAGGAATTTTTTCTGCTCGAGATTCAAATGATATTTATGCTTTTGAAATTCATTTCTTCACTATTATGACGAATTTTGTAATTCAATTTTTGGAGAAATTTCTACTGACTTAAACAGATAAAAGCGATGTGAAACTTAAAATCTTAGTTAGCAAAAAATATTTCAACATTAAAGAAAAGGCGAAATTTTTTGCTGTTAAAAGCAAAGAGAGTAAGTGAAACAATACAATAATGTGGAAAGATTAAAAAAGCTTACGTTTTTACGGCTTATGTTTTTATCTATAAAAACAGATTTTTAAACATTTTTTAGAGCAAAAATCTGGGTTGGGCGCCGTTTAATAGTGCAAGAATAGTTATGATACAGTGTCGAGATATCGCGGGACATATTTTCAATAGGCAATACAAAGTGTATATTTCGTATTGCATGAGTTAGCGAATGAACTTCGAAAATTCATTATATTTATCGCTTTTTTGAAGAATAACACCGAGAATTTATATGTGTATGCGGTAATGTTATAGATGTTTAGAAAATCAAGGATTTTTCTCGGATACCGCGATTTCCTGATTTATATATTTACTTTATCAAGATTCGGGAGTAAGAAGAAAGAAAACTAGAAATTTTAATCGCAATTGGTTTTTATGAGATTAAAAGGATTGATTATATCCGAATGTACAATTCCGGAACAATGAATAACGTGAATGACCAATCAGTTTATCCAATGAGCTATTTCTGGGAAATAGCTCATTGGATAAACTTTGAATTTATTGTAATGAAAAAAGAAAGGAAATTTGTTCAGTAAAATTTCTTAGCAATATGAAAAGCTCTGTTATGAAATTTATTTTGTGAAGTGGGCATTGAATGGTTCTACCATAATATTAATGCCTCAGTAATATAAAGCGAAGGGAATATTTATGCTAATTGATACAATATATTAGCTCTGTTGTGAGAGAAATGGTAATATGCAAATACATACATACAATTTCGGAGAAAAATCTAAAGAAAATCTAGCCAGAAAAGGAAGTCTTGTGGAATTCAACTATCAAACTATTCTCTGCCCTTTAATACAGGGCATAATATAATTATTCCAATTATTATTTTCAACTTTTTATTGATCTGATAAACAATGAAATATAAGAAAGTGACAGATAAGTGAAGGAGCACTAATTTCATACATGATTTATTTAAGGAAGAGTAAAAAGATCTTAGTGGAAAAATCTTATTCAGTTTGCTAGAAAATTTTATTTGAAGACTAAATAAAAAAACAATCGAACAACAATGTTTAAGTTCTAACAGGTGAGACATCAGATTCCGTGAAAGACTTCCGAAGATGAAATGTTGAATGGTCAGAGGAAGTGATTACCGCAGTGATAGTTGCTATAATGATATTAATAATACTTACTTAATATCTTTTATATTTTCTTCTTCAGCAAAAAGAATGTCTGAATACAATGATTCTTTCTTTTCCTTTTAACTCATGCGAAAAAGCGAAAAAGTTTTTAACCATTCATTACTTCTCCTTCGAAACTCTTTGCATAATAAAAGGACAGAGAAAAATGAAACTAAAAAATTCTCCGAAAAAAAGATCATTCATTGTTTTTGCAGAATTCTTTGCCAGCCAGAAGGCGAGGCTGTTTTTTTCCATTCCATTCATTTCATTTCATTTTTTATAACTTCACATTTTCATCTTCCGTAAAATGAAGCTAACATTTGTTTGTTAGCATTGAATGAATATAGCTTATGTATGTTTAGTTGTATTCATTTCAAGTTGAGAAAGAAGTCAGTCCTTTACGTGGAATTTCAAAAAGAAAAAGAAGTTAAAATCGGGAAAGATAACAGACATACATACAGACAGACGTACAACATAAATTTTTTATTCATATTTAAATCGCATATTCTTAGGTTAAAATATTTGACCCGACAAATTTTCCTTTTCAAATTTCAATTTGCAAAATGGGAAAATTTTTTCCGAAGTATATGCTATTATTGAACTGAAAGTTTTCACTGATAAACTACTTCTGCTCTTTCTATTACTCTTATCACTGGAAATTAACGGAATATTGAATATGTTGTGAATAGTATGATGATGATGACTCACACATGTAAATAACGAACCAATGAATCATGCATGCTTAATGATTGATATGTGGTAGAAAGTAGTAATATCGCTTGTCGCATGTCATATAATCCAAAATCTAAGCTAATAAATAAAACATTTTGGAAATAATAATATTTGTTTATGATATTTTAATGGAAATAATGAATAGTTAAGAGAGGAATATGAAAAATTTCTTTGTTGTTAATTTGTTTCTTTTGTTTATTTCATTTCAAAGGGAAGAAATTTACAAAAATCTTAGTAACGAAAAGTAAAATTAAAAATTTATTGAATTCCTTCTTTCCACACAAAATTGAATTTGAAAGAAAAAAATTCGAAACATAAAACAAAACAAAAATATATTATTATATTGTTCGATGAAAACTGACTACGAATGTAAATTTTTTGATTGAAATTCATAAATTCGAATAAAAATATTGCTTGCTGTTCGAACCGTTCTACACATTACTTACCCACTACCGTACCTTTAACACATATATATATACTCCAAGGTTTACTGTAAGAGCAAAATCGAGGATCGGCATTTCTGGATGAACAGTAAACATTCTTCGAAACAAAGAATAAGCTAAAAGTGGAAGGTGTAATTAACTTATATGAATCAGATTTTTCACTTCCAACATACCACACAATATTGATTAGAGGAAATGATGAAGATTGCAAGGGTTATTTGTCTGGCAATGCTTAAGTTAGGCATAGGAATAAATACCGAAAATAACGCTTGAATTTTGACATATTAATAAAATAATTACATATAGTCCCATCGATCCCCTTTAATTTATCCTTAATTTTTGCAAATTATTTCTATTAAATCGCTTTTTGCAGATCATAAAAAGATTCTTAATAAGATGAAGAAAGCATGGATGAAGTAAAATGAGCAAACAGTTATTGACATTATTAATAAGTGGTAACGGTAAACTCAGAAATATACTGATGTACGTACATCAATGAAAATACGAAAATGTCGCTTAAAATGAATAACCATTTCTATCTCTCTTTCATGCCACCTAATCTTGCGATTATATACTCAGACACTGATAGAATTCCATTTGACGCCATTACTTTTTTTTAACTTCATTAATCATTAAGCTAATGCAAAACTGCTCTAAGCGAATGGATGAAAGCTG